CCTCCTTCCATCAGCAAGGGCATTGAAGATGAAACGTGGCTGGGTCTTTCAGCATAACAATGATCCCAAACACACCGCCCGGGCAACGAAGGAGTGGCTTCGTAAGAAGCATTTCAAGGTCCTGGAGTGGCCTAGCCAGTCTCCAGATCTCAACCCCATAGAAAATCTTTGGAGGGAGTTGAAAGTCTGTGTTGCCCAGCGACAGCCCCAAAACATCACTGCTCTAGAGGAGATCTGCATGGAGGAATGGGCCAAAATACCAGCAACAGTGTGTGAAAACCTTGTGAAGACTTACAGAAAACGTTTGACCTGTGTCATTGACAACAAAGGGTATATAACAAAGTATTGAGAAACTTTTGTTATTGACCAAATACTTATTTTCCACCATAATTTGCAAATAAATTCATTAAAAATCCTACAATGTGGTTTTCTGGAAAAAAAATTCTCATTTTGTCTGTCATAGTTGACGTGTACCTATGATGAAAATTACAGGCCTCTCTCATCTTTTTAAGTGGGAGAACTTGCACAATTGGTGGCTGACTAAATACTTTTTTCCCCCACTGTAACTCTGGGTCTTCCATTCCTGTGGCGATCCTCATGAGAGCCAGTTTCATCATAGCGCTTGATGATTTTTGCGACTGCACTTGAAGAAACTTTCAAATTCTTGAAATGTTCTGTGTTGACTGACCTTCATGTCTTAAAGTAATGATGGACTGTTTATCTTTGCTTATTTGAGCTGTTCTTGCCATAATATGGACTCTTTTACCAAATAGGGCTAACTTCTGTATACCTCCCCCTTCCTTGTCACAACACAAATGATTGGCTCAAACGCATTAAGAAGGAAAGAAATTCAACAAATTAACTTTTAAGAAGGCACACCTGTTCATTGAAATGCATTCCAGGTGACTATCTCATGAAGCTGGTTGAGAGAATGCCAAGAGTGTGCAAAGATGTCATCAAGGGAAAGGGTGGCTATTTGAAGAATCTCAAATATAAAATATATTTTGATTTGTTTAACACTTTTTTGGTTTCTACATGATTCCATGTGTGTTATTTCATAGTTTTGATGTCTTCACTATTATTCTGTAAAAAATAGTAAAAATAAAGAAAAACCCTTGAATGAGTAGGTGTGTCCAAACTTTTGACTGGTATTGTATAACATTTATAAGATTCCTACAAAATTATCTGCTTTTCATAAACAAATATTCTTAGCGTGGTCATTAATAAATAAATATAAATGTTCCCCGCATAGGTATTTCATTTGGAACAATAAGGATATTTTGTATAGAAACAAGTCTTTATTTTTTAAGAACTGGTTTAATAATCATATCCTGCTGGTGAGTCAACTTTTTAATGCAGAAGGATTGTTACTCAATTATGAGGAATTTCTATCTCGTTACAATATCCCTGTTACACCTAGAGAGTTCGCCATAGTCTCTGATGCTATTCCATCTGGAACTCTCATGTTGTTTAGAGGTGTAACCAGACCTCACCTTCTTGAGCTACCCTCGCTTAATCCAGCTGACTCTCCTATAGGAAAAATGTGTTTCTCCTTGCTCCCTCAGAACAACAGATCTATACGTGCTTTAATTCAAAGGAATATTGTATCTATTCCTTATGTCACAACTTACTGGAATACATTTGTAAATAATATCTGTTGGAAAAAAGTCTGGTTATTACCACACAAATACCTGCTTGTTAACAAGGTCAAAGAGGTCTCTTTCAGAATGATCCATAAGTATTACCGTGTGAATCATTACCTGAAGAAACGCAATACATTACCATTAACTGTACTTTTTGTGTTGAGCATCCAGAAACAGTTTCGTATTTATTTGGGCGTTGTCTACATGTAAAGACATTATGGCAAGATATTTATAGTTTTATAATTGTTAATATTCTTGATGACTTTTGTTTACTATGGGAGAATGTGCTCCTCGGTTTCCTTAACTATAATAAGGATAAAGAAAAACAATTTTACCTCATAAATCTAATTGTGCTAATGGAAAAAATGTCATATTCATAAATGTAAATTCACTAATAAAAAAACATTATTCTATGTTTTCTATAAGGAATTCGAGCAGTACATTAAAACCATTCTACATTCTTCCAATACGAAAGCTGTTAAAACAATCAATACTGTGCATCTTTTAAGGTCTTTGTATAATCTGTAATTTGTTGTACCCCCTAGCATATGTTATCATTGTCTGTTTGTATACTTCTTGTATGTATGTATACTGGTGTTTCTGCAGTAATAATAATAACAAATATATTATTATAATAATAATACATAGAAACACGTCATCGGGTGTAAAGGGCGCCTCACGCCGAACTGCGCATGTGTCAAAGGCACTCCTTCGATATAAAGTCGTTTTTGACAAAAGCGTGTCAGATTATCACTTTCACGAGGTTGGAGTAATAACATGTTCAACTACTTAAGACATTGGCTTGAATCCAGGTTTTGCATTTAGATTTCGAGAAAATCAACATCTAAGGAAGAATCTTGTATTCATTCCCCCCACTGGCCCTGATTTCCCCCACCCTAGCCAGGGTGCGGGAGAAGGGTCTATCTCTCATACTAATAGCGCCACATTGGCCAGAGGAACACTGGCTAGCGGAGATCACTCAACTGCTATGCAGCCATCCGTGGCCCCTCCCTCTGCGTCGGGACCTACTGTGCCAGGCGCGAGGGGAGATTTTCCATCCTCACCCAGAACGGTTGGCACTCTGGGCCTGGCCCGTGAATGGTTCAACTTGAACACTGCCGGGCTTCCTCAAAATGTAATTTCGACTATTCAGAGTGTTAGAGCCTCATCCACCAGGTCCCTTTATAATTGTAAATGGCGAGTGTTTGAGGAATGGTGCACTGTATCACAGGCAGTGCAATTCAAGTGCTCTGTCCCGGTAATCTTGTCGTTTCTACAGGAATTATTAGAAAGAGGAAAGGCTTTTTCTACTATTAAGGTATATCTAGCAGCTATTTCGGCTTGTCGTGTGGGTTTTGGGAGCACGATAGTGGGGCAACACCCCCTTGTCGCCCGTTTTATGAAGGGTGCACATCGTTTGCGTCCAGTGTCCAAACAGCTTGCCCCGTCATGGGATTTATCAATTGTTTTGGATGATCTATGCCAACAGCCTTTTGAGCCCCTGGATCAGGTGGAGCTGAAGATGCTTTCATTTAAGACCGCGCTATTACTAGCATTGGCCTCTGCCAAGCGTGTAAGTTACATTCACACACTATCAGTGCACTCGTCGTGCACAATTTCCACCTGGTAACAATAGGGTATCGTTGTGGCCTAACCCCGCCTTTATCCCTAAGATTGTTAACTCATCTTTGATGCGTCTTCCCCTTGAGCTGGTAGCTTTTTATCACCCCACCGTTTTCCTCTCCGGAACATCAACTGTTGTGTCCAGTACGCGCTCTACGCCTCTACATGGACAGGACTAAGGGATTTAGGAAATGTGATCAGTTGTTTGTTTCCTGGGCAAAACCTCACACAGGTAAAGCGCTCACTAAACAAGTAAGGGTCTTCAGTCTCCTGCTGGCTTACGGGCTCATTCCACTAGAGCAGGGCTGCCCAACACTCTTCCTGGAGATCTACTGTCCTGTAGGTTTTCAGTCCAACCCTAATTTAGCATATCTGATTCAGCTAGTTAAGGTCTTGTTGAGCAGCTATTAAGTAGAATCAGGTGCGTTAAAATAGGGTTGGACTGAAAACCCACAGGACGGTGGATCTCCAGGAAGAGTGTTGGGCGGCCCTGCACTAGAGGAATGGCTACATCCTAGGCTTTATTTAAGGGCATATCTATCCAAGATATTTGCTCAGCAGCGAGTTGGGCTTCGCCTCATACATTTGCAAAGTTTTATAGGCTTGATGTCAATACACCAACCCTGGCGCATACTATTTTAGGTGTAGGATCTTCTGAAGGGCAAAGCCCATTTGTGTGATATATCGCACAGGGCAGTCGGTCGTCAGGATAAGCTTGTCTGGCAATACGGGAGTCAGTATATCCCATAAGTGAAATACCGAAACGAATACTTGAAAGAGAACTTTAGGTTACGACTGTAACCCCAGTTCTCTGATAGTATGAGTGAGGTATTTCACCAGACCACCCTCCTTGCATGAGTGAGGAAGAGGTGTGGCTTATTTTTGAATGACTCAGAGACTCTGCCTCTGACCTTTTATAGGGTAGGAGGGACATCCTTCCCCGACGCACACGTCTCGACGTCCAGCCAATCATGGCTGGCGTAGTGTAATAAAGGCTTCTGATGAATATGCTGGGGGCGTATCCCATAAGTGAAATACCTCACTCATACTATCAGAGAACCCGGGGTTACAGTCGTAACCTAAAGTTCCCAACCTTCATCGGTTACTGTACCACAAACTGAATTTTGCTCTGCCCGGAGTACCTCTGAATACCCCCTCATGTGCATTTCACAAGTAGGCATATGGTCTCATGAGGCTTCTCAAGTACCCCCTGTGGATAAGCCAAGTACCCCCAGGGGTTGGGAACCACTGTTATAAAGTAATGTACCACTTGGTAGCGTTCAAGCTAAGGGAAACACTCTTTTCAATCCACTTTTCACGCCATTTATATGAGTGCTTTTTCGTAGCAGGTTAGGATAATTAATGTAGCAGGTTAGGAGACTGAGGTTGGGGTTTGCGAAAATGCTCTCCTAACCTGCTACGAAAAGTCATTTCGATATCGAAGTGGCGTGAAGAGTGATTCCCAAGTTCAAGAGAAAGTAGCTGCCTCTTTAATAAACCCACTTTCTTTCTAAACCGGAACTACGATTTTGGGGTTTCACAAAATACTTCCGACTGGGCACAGGCACTATTTACGTATCGATCGTGTGAAGAAGTCTGTGTACTCCAAATTAATCAAATGTATTGATGTACCAACTAGCTCCACCTATATGTGGTACTATCTCAATCATTTTACAATGCAAATCTGAAAGAGTGGTCAATTAGCTAAAGTCGTGATAAACACCAACAAACAGAATGTCAAATTTCATCGCGTTGCAGACCCAGCTGGCCTCCGTCATGGAGACCCTTGTTCACGCCGCGGTGGCCGAACTGGGTAAACTAATAGAAGACGGCTCTGTCTTCATGTTCAGCCTGGAACTGTCCCAGGGGCATTGCGAGGAGGACAAATTATCGGCAAAACTACAGACGGAGAGTCAGAATAAGATGGTAAGTCACCATGAGTGTGAGACAGGAAAGGCCCTGCCTGGGATATCAAATCAAATCAAATCAAATCAAATTGTATTGGTCACATGCGCCGAATACAACAGGTGCAGACATTACAGTGAAATGCTTACTTACAGCCCTTAACCAACAGTGCATTTATTTTAAACAAAAAAGAGTAAGAATAAAACAACAACAAAAAAAGTGTTGAGAAAAAAAGAGCAGAAGTAAAATAAAGTGACAGTAGGGAGGCTATATATACAGGGGGGTACCGTTGCAGAGTCAACGTGCGGGGGCACCGGCTAGTTGAGGTAGTTGAGGTAATATGTACATGTGGGTAGAGTTAAAGTGACTATGCATAAATACTTAACAGAGTAGCAGCAGCGTAAAAAGGATGGGGTGGGGGGGCAGTGCAAATAGTCCGGGTAGCCATGATTAGCTGTTCAGGAGTCTTATGGCTTGGGGGTAGAAGCTGTTGAGAAGTCTTTTGGACCTAGACTTGGCACTCCGGTACCGCTTGCCGTGCGGTAGCAGAGAGAACAGTCTATGACTAGGGTGGCTGGAGTCTTTGACAATTTTGAGGGCCTTCCTCTGACACCGCCTGGTATAGAGGTCCTGGATGGCAGGAAGCTTTGCCCCAGTGATGTACTGGGCCGTACGCCCTACCCTCTGTAGTGCCTTGCGGTCGGAGGCCAAGCAGTTGCCATACCAGGCGGTGATGCAACCAGTCAGGATGCTCTCGATGGTGCAGCTGTAGAATTTTTTGAGGATCTGAGGACCCATGCCAAATCATTTTAGTCTCCTGAGGGGGAATAGGCTTTGTCGTGCCCTCTTCACGACTGTCTTGGTGTGTTTGGACCATGATAGTTCGTTGGTGATGTGGACACCAAGGAACTTGAAGCTCTCAACCTGTTCCACTACAGCCCCGTCGATGAGAATGGGGGCGTGCTCAGTCCTCTTTTTTTTCCTGTAGTCCACAATCATCTCCTTTGTCTTGGTCACGTTGAGGGAGAGGTTGTTGTCCTGGCACCACACGGCCAGATCTCTGACCTCCTCCCTATAGGCTGTCTCACCGTTGTCGGTGATCAGGCCTACCACTGTTGTGTCGTCGGCAAACTTAATGATGGTGTTGGAGTCGTGCCTGGCCATGCAGTCATGGGTGAACAGAGAGTACAGGAGGGGACTGAGCACGCACCCCTGAGGGGCCCCCGTGTTGAGGATCAGTGTGGCAGATGTGTTGTTACCTACCCTTACCACCTGGGGGCGGCCCGTCAGGAAGTCCAGGATCCAGTTGCAGAGGGAGGTGTTTAGTCCCAGGATCCTTAGCTTAGTGATGAGCTTAGAGGGCACTATGGTGTTGAATGCTGAGCTGTAGTCAATGAATAGCATTCTCACGTAGGTGCCTCTTGTCCAGGTGGGAAAGGGCAGTGTGGAGTGCGATAGAGATTGCATCATCTGTGGATCTGTTGGGGCGGTATGCAAATTGGAGTGGGTCTAGGATTTCTGGGATAATGCTGTTGATGTGAGCCATGAACAGTCTTTCAAAGCACTTCATGGCTACAGACGTCAGTGCTACGGGTCGGTAGTCATTTAGGCAGGTTATCTTAGAGTCCTTGGGCACGGGGACTATGGTGGTCTGCTTGAAACATGTTGGTATTACAGACTCAGTCAGGGACATGTTGAAAATGTCAGTGAAGACACTTGCCAGTTGGTCAGCACATGCTCGGAGTACACGTCCTGGTAATCCGTCTGGCCCTGCGGCCTTGTGAATGTTGACCTGCTTAAAAGTCTTACTCACATCGGCTACAGAGAGCGTGATCACATAGTCATCCGGAACAGCTGGTGCTCTCATGCATGCTTCAGTGTTGCTTGCCTCGAAGCGAGCATAGAAGTGGTTTAGCTCGTCTGGTAGGCTTGTGTCACTGGGCAGCTCGCGGCTGTGCTTCCCTTTGTAGTCTGTAATAGTTTTCAAGCCCTGCCACATCCGACGAGCGTCAGAGCCAGTGTAGTATGATTCAATCTTAGACCTGTATTGACTCTTTGCCTGTTTGATGGTTCTTCGGAGGTCATAGCGGGATTTCTTATAAGCGTCCGGGTTAGAGTCCCGTTCCTTGAAAGCGGCAGCTCTACCCTTTAGCTCAGTGCGGATGTTTCCTGTAATCCATGGCTTCTGGTTGGGGTATGTATGTACGGTCACTGTGGGGACGACATCATCGATGCACTTATTGATGAAGCCAGTGACTGATGTGGTGTACTCCTCAATGCTGCCTGAAGAATCCCGGAACATGTTCCAGTCTGTGCTAGCAAAACAGTCCTGTAGCTTAGCATCTGCGTCATCTGACCACTTTTTTATTAACCGAGTCACTGGTGCTTCCTGCTTTAGTTTTTGCTTATAAGCAGGAATCAGGAGGATAGAGTTATGGTCAGATTTGCCAAATGGAGGGCGAGGGAGAGCTTTGTATGCGTCTCTGTGTGTGGAGTAAAGGTGGTCTAGAGTTTTTTTCCCTCTGGTTGCACATTTAACATGCTGGTAGAAATTAGGTAGAACGGATTTAAGTTTCCCTGCATTAAAGTCCCCGGCCACTAGGAGCGCTGCATCTGGATGAGCGTTTTCCTGTTGATTAATGGCCTTGTACAACTCATTCAGTGCAATCTTAATGCCAGCATTGGTTTGTGGTGGTAAATAGACAGCTATGAAAAATATAGATGAAAACTCTCTTGGTAAATAGTGTGGTCTACAGCTTATCATAAGATACTCTACCTCAGGCGAGCAAAACCTCGAGACTTCCTTAGTATTTGATTTTGTGCACCAGCTGTTGTTTACAAATATACACAGACCGCCTCCCCTTGTCTTACCGGAGTCAGCCGTTCTGTCCTGCCGATGTAGCGTATAGCCTGCTAGCTGAATGTTATCATTGTTGTCGTTCAGCCACGACTCCATGAAACATAAGATATTACAGTTTTTAATGTCCCGTTGGTAGGATAACCGTGATCTTAAATCGTCCATTTTATTTTCAAAAGATTGAACGTTGGCTAATAGGATTGATGGAAGAGGCAGTTTACTCGCTCGCCGTCGGATCCTTACAAGGCACCCCGATCTGCGTCCGCGATATCTCCGTCTCTTCCTCACGCGAATGACGGGGATTTGGGCCTTGTCGGGTGTCTGTATGATATCCTTCGCGGCCGCCTCGTTGAAGAAAAAATCTTCGTCCAAAACGAGGTGAGTAATCGTTGTCCTGATATTGAACCGAGCTAGCTAGTAACGTTAGCTATTTGCCCATATCGCATTCACAGATCAGCTGACCTGTAGGCCTTACCATGTTTATAAACAGATACAGGTGACAGATACCATGCATGAATAGAAAAGGCACTCTCTCAATCTTCATGGTATTTTTTGAAGTAATGCATTGCTCGTCTCTTTTTCATTTACAGACACACTTCGCAACACTAATGGAGGTACTGGGCAATGAGGCATTGGGTAAAATAATAAAAATTGTGGATGATACAACGTTTTTGATGGACTTTGAATCCTTCAAAGGACATGGAGGGAAAAAAGCCAAACCACAAGCAAGCATCTTGAATATTCTGTCAGTTGGAGGAATGGGTAAGTAGCGTAGACGTTTCTATTGCTTTATCTGTTGCGCTACTAGCTACAAGAAGAAGTACCTATTTATCTTTCTAATGCCTCACTTCTTTCTTTGGTGCAGCGGAGGAACATTCTTATGGCGGAAGTGGTAAAACTGTGGAGCAAACTGTTTCAATGCAGGTAAGCTCTTTGCATATAGCTTCAAGTGCCATCGTTTCTGCTAACACTTTTTCTGGTTTCAGTAGGCAAAACATTACATGTTTGTAGTCAGTGCCCATTCTGTGCCATTTCTATAATATGATCCAATTATGTTCCTAATGTTCACACCTAATCAATCTGTTTGTGCTGGTAGTCTGCAGATGTGGAGGAAGTGGACACACCAGAATCTCCCCTCGTCTTGGCTGTCTCTGTCAAAGACGAGTATGGGCAAATAGACCTGGGGGCCATTGCAGAGAGTAAGTATAAAGGCAGTATTTTGACAGCCTATATCAAATTATCTTCTGCCACCTAAAATTATATGTTTTATACTTGTCTTACAGGAGCTGCCGATGATGCTTTTGCAGCCAACTCTTCCTCTGAGAACCAATATTGTATGATTAGTAATGAACCCCACAGACATCCTATTGGAGTCTTTGTTCGCCCAAAATAAGCTCTTCATTTGCACAGAGTGTGGGAAAAGTTTCTCCACGCAGAGTAACCTCAAATCCCACCAGCGACTTCACACGGGCGAGAAACCGTTTGTGTGCATGTTCTGCAACAAAGCCTTTGCACACAAACAGAGTTGTAATGATCACATCTGCACCCACACTGGTGAGAAGCCCTTCATATGTGGCGTCTGTGGGAAATGCTTCGGCAAGCAGGCACACCTCAAGACACATTCGATAATACACACTGGAGAAAAGCCTTACAGCTTCAGTGTGTGTGGCAAGAGCTTCAACCTGGCTCAAAATATGTCTAGACACCAGCAAATTCACACAGGAGAGAACATCTTCACCTGTTTGCTGTGTGGGAAAGGCTTCACACGAGCTGTAACACTGAAGACCCATCAACTCATTCACACTGGACAAAAGCCCTTCTAGTGTAATCAGTGTGACAAGAGTTTCCGTCACGCTGTCAATCTGAAGGACCACCAGCGGATTCATACAGGTGTCAGGCCATTTAGCTGTGACTTGTGTGGCAAGACATTTCGTCAATCGGTGAATCTGAAAATACACAAGCGCATCCACACTGGAGAGAGGCCATTCAGCTGCACAGAATGCGGCAAGACCTTCAGTCAGCAGAGTAGTCTTATCTCTCACGGACGCACCCACTCTAACGAGAAGCCTTTTGAGTGTAGCTTCTGTGAGAAAAGATTCAACAACGCCAACAGTCTGAAGTTGCACCAGAGAATCCATACAGGAGAGAAGCCGTACAGCTGTGAAATCTGTGGGAAGACCTTCAGTCAGGGCAGTCATCTCCGAACTCACAAGAGGCATGTCCACGCAGGAGGGAAACAGTACATCTGTGATAAATGTGGGAAGAGGTATTCAGACAAACGGAATCTTAAGATGCACAAATGTGTTTATGCCTCAATCTAACATGGTGATGGGCAAACAGTTTCAATCTTTGACAGGCTTTTGTTGTCCTTTGCTTTGCTGTTTTTATGCCTGTTGGTTGGTTCACCAGATGTGTCTCTGATGAAGGAGAGCCTTGAAGCCTGGCAGGTGAATCTAGGGAAACCCCTCTCAGCTAGATTTTAGCCTGAGCAAAACTGTATAGTTTATAATGGAATAGGACTTGCTGTCAGGAGCTAGGTATTTTAGTTTTTGTTAAAATACAGAAACCAAATATACCTATGTTAAATAATGTTTTCGTGTTAGTGTGTACTGTATATAGTAATGCCACTTTTGTACATCTGTAAGATAAGATATGTTATTTAGCATAAATAAAAGTATAGCTAACATTATGCAGCCTGATATGTATTGATATCATTTGTAAAAAGCCAATAAAACTGAAACTGGAGTTTGGGCTATACAAATTCTGTAGATCTTCTTGTTCTAACAGAACTGCTTGGCTGACTAGTCTGTACTTCCAAAACATCAGTCCACTTATGTACTTGTTTCTTAAGGTTTGTTTTCCACAGACTTGAATTTAAAATTCACACATTTGCTATTTTATAGCGTTTGTTATTTTATATACTTTATGATGTAAAAGAGACAAATCAACACATGGTTGTATTTAGTGAGAGGGAACAAATTGGTTAAAACAAATATCACAGTAAATTATGGGAATGTAACCAATAAAGACATGCAATGCTGGAATTTTTGGGATTTCTTCTGTGTGAACTTTGTTTCAGTTATGGATTCACATTCAAATGGAAACCCTACTACCATGTTGCCTTATTGTTGCCCAATTCACCGCTAAACTTAGTTGAAAGGTTGACATTCGCTTTTGCAGAACTTTTGGAGGCTCATTTTAGTGATTAATTTGACTGATTTTGTTTGCTTCATAGTTTATTTTGTCTTTCTTTTCTGTTACTATTATTATTCAATGAAGTGAAAACTCTGTTAACCTAAAGCTGGTAAATTGATCTGTTCAAAATCTACACATTCAAAAGCCTTTATTTATTAAAAAGAATATGATTATATTGCTACCTGGTGGTCTGGCCAAAATACAAAGACATATTTAATTTTATTCAATAACATTTGATAAATGGAAAGTAAATTATTTCACTGGGAATCATCATCATCAGTATCACAGAAATGCTAGCAAGAAAAGTGTGCTATTTCTCAGGTTTACATAAAAATTTTGGGATAAGGGGAGAGTATGTTTATATTTCTGACGTCAGTGTCAGCTGTGCCTGAAGCGGTGTGCATGTGGTTGTGGGTGATTCAGAGAGTCGAATGAGCAACAGAGATCTCAGTTTTGACAGCGCCGGGCTTAGCAACACTGAAAGCCACAAGGAGCCCTTTAGCTAGCTAGCTACTAAACAAGCGGAAACAAACGTTTTTCAGACGATGTTTCTTTGACAAGAAATGGGAATGAACACCAGGAGGGAGGCGACGAGAAAATCTGGATGAATTGGTGGACCATACGCCTGGCTGAAGAAAAAAACGTCTGCTTCAGAGAAAGCACTCGAACGTTAGTTAGCTAGCTAATGTAGTGGATTTGACTTTCTCAGTCATATGGTCCTACTCTTTCCTATTTAATGGATGGGCTTCGTTCAGCAAGCAGTGTTTTTAAGGCTATTTAACTTAAAATCAAGAATTTAGCGAGCTAGCCAGGCTATTGGCTTGAACTTGCTAGTTAGCTAGCTTACTAGCCAACGTTAGCAATTGGACCAGCACTTGATATTCAATCTTCCTGCCTCTTCACTTTTAAATTCAGGAATTTGCGGCAGCGCAAGCGGATGCAGCGTCTGTTTCAATAGGTAAGTCCGAGTCACCCGTGTGTGTCAGTTTGTCAGTGGAAGTCCTGTCCTGTCATGAAATTAACTATTACTTCTCAGGCCTGTTCCAGCAGCTAAGATACAGCAATGCCTAATTTACAGTACTGTGAGTCATTAGTCAGCAGATTCATACCCTACCCTTACGCTTGTTTACACGTAGCCCAATAATGGTCTAGAGGAGCCTAACGTTACTCCTTAATCCAATGACTATGTTCTGAAAGCCAAAACGTCCGAATATTCAATCTAAACGTGAATCGATTCTCAATTGCGGTACGGTTCTAGAAACAAATCCCTTTACTTTCATATAAAAAAAAAAAAAATTCACAAATGCAAAATACACATTTAATGAACAGTTGCAGCCAAAATTAGATTTCAGTGACTACACTTCGTGGCGTCCATCTTCTATTTACACAGGTGTTCAGCGACGCAGATGGATAATTAGCAGTCCACTCTGACTGAGAAGAGTACAACTGCAGCCCGCAATTCGGAGTGTTCCGAACCCCTCTTTATACTTCTATTGGTCCTTTTTAAAGCAATGGCTTCAGTACAGTAGATGGCGGTAATGCACGATAACGTTGGATGCCAACTGCCGATAAACCCCACAGACAAAGAAGAGGCGTGGGCGACAACGGTAACTAGCTATAGCTAGTACACACCGGTAGTGTCCTTGGCCCCTCCTGTTGGGCACTTTTTTCCCACAGTTCTGTTAACGACGGCGAGGGCAGGTGTTCGGCAGGCGGGAGTGACGGACACTGTGTGCTAGCTAGTCCTAAGGATGTCTTCGGTACACAGCAGGTGGGAGGCGGGGGGCGACACGTGTTGCCCCCGCCTCCCGCCTGTTGTGTATCGAAGTAGCTAGCGGTAGGCAGTGTCCTTTGCCCCCGCCTGTCGGGCATGGTTTTCTCCGGTACGCGGGAGGCAGGGGCGACACCATGTGATAGCTAGCTAGCAAACTAGCAAGCTAGCTAGTTAGCTATCAGACAGTGTTGCTTCATAGCCTTGGTTTCTCAAATGACTGCCTCGCCTGGTTCACCAACTACTTCTCAGATAGAGTTCAATGTGTCAAATCGGAGGGCCTGTTGTCTGGACCTATGGCAGTCTCTATGGGGGTGCCACAGGGTTCAATTCTCGGGCCGACTCTTTTCTCTGTGTATATCAATAATGTCGCTCTTGCTGCTGGTGACTCTCAGATCCACCTCTACGCAGAAGACACCATTTTGTAAACATCTGGCCCTTCATTGGACACTGTGTTAACAAACCTCCAAACGAGCTTCAATGCCATACAACACTCCTTCCGTAGCCTCCAACTGCTCTTAAACACTAGACAAACTAAAAACATGCTCTTCAATTGCCCACCCGACTAGAATCACTACTCTCGGCGGGTCGGACAACTACAAATACCTTCAGTCTGTTTTCCGTGAACAAGTGCTGTAACATGGAAATATGGCCGTGTGGGAACCCTAACCCTATAAAGGTGTGTATGAATTTAACCTTTTTGTTTTTTGAAAATTATTTATTGCTGATATGAAAGATAAGGTCCTTATGCTTCCAAAACCGTACCGCAAGTGATGCGTGTTAATGTTCAGACCAAGCGTCGGGGCTCTTAACAAGATACCCTGTACAGAAGATGCCTTCATCCAATGACTCTTATGTGTAATGTAATGGAACTGAGAGTCATGGTCAAGGGCTAGTTTACACTGAGCTGCACTGGGGTCAGAACGCCATCATGGTTAAGACACCACGGAGCCAGCGCAAGATATGGCTCGGAAAACGCACTTCAATCCAGGGATGAGAAATTGCGTTTTACTCAGAATTCTCCCATTATCCCAACTGTTACACAGAGAAGATAGAACGATTGCTCAAAAACTAGCAGCATTTCAATCTTCTCGATGTATCAGTTTGGGTATAGGTCAAATTTGGAGTACAGTGGCACATCCCATCCTTGCATTGAGGTACATTTTCCGCTGTATCTTAATCTAACCATGACTGCGTTCCGACCCCAGTGCAATTTTTATTTTTATTTTTAATTTTTAGTCATTTTAGCAGACGCTCTTATCCAGAGTGACTTACAGTTAGTGAGTGCATATATATTTATTTTTTTCATACTGGCCCCCCATGGGAACTCAGTGTAAACAAGCGTAACGGTAGGGTGGGAATCTGCTGGCTACTGTAAGCATGTAATAACATGTAACAACACATGTCAACAACGAAAATGAGCAATGAGCATCAGACACAAATGGCCCCTTGCTGACCATGCATGTGCTTAGAGCAGGGGAGAATGACTGCCCCCTCTTATTGAAGCTATAGCCGACCGCAGTACTGCAGGCATTGTTAGCAGAAAACAGGATCCCCCATTATAGTGAATGGAAAAATGGCATTCTTCGTGGTTAATCTCTGTGTAAATAAAAAATTAATAATTAGAAGACAATCATGATAATTGCTTCTAATACACCAGATGGCTAATTTAGTTGCTAATGGCAGCCTGCAGTACCCTGGTCGGCCTTCTACTTGAGTCACATTTACATCCAGAGCGACTTACAGGAGCAATTAGGGTTAAGTGCCTTGCTTAAGGGCACATCGACAGATTTTTCACCTAGTCGGCTCGGGGATTAGAACCAGCAACCTTTCGGTTACTGGCACAACGCTCTTACCCACTAAGCTACCTGCCGCCCAAGTTACTTAATGAGAGCGCTGAGCTAGCCTGGAACGTCACTTCCTGGAGTAGCTTAAACTGCACATGTTATGTCTCCATGAGACGCCATCCTAACCGACTTCATTTGGCTTCAATGCGCTATTGAGTCTTTACATAGGAATGAAGGAATGGTGTCATGTGATGGCTTTGTCCATTCATATATACAGTCATTGTCTTAAAGGCTCCAGTCACATTGGCCCAGAGGTAAAGAATCCCTTGTTTTACTGCTACACATTCCCCTCAAACAGCATTCCATACATGCTTCAATTGGAAGTGAGACTAACTGTAACTTGTAAAAACACTGACTGATTGAAGTGTCATTGTTGGGGCCTTGTCATTTTAAAATCCCCCACAGAGTCTCTGACAGGTTGGATTTAATTGTCTGTGTGGTGGTCATTGGAGGACAGCCACACTGCAAAACAGTGAATGAGATTAACAAAACCATGTTTATCCTCTTGTGAAATCACCTTTGATGTGTCAAGGTCTATGCAGCTGAACACAATGTTGGATTTAATGTATGGATTTGGCTCCATAACGGTTAAAAAGACATGAAGAATCTTGATTCCCAGTGGTACGTTCTCATTCTCTCTCATGATAAACTCAACCATTACAGAGGGAGATGGAAGGCCTTGCATGGTGTTATGGAGGTCAGTGATCCCCAGTGGAGCCACAGCCTGGGGGTAATGTGAGTCTCCCTGTAGACTTGCATGCCAGAGCACAGAATACAGACCAGGCATATCTGCATGCACTGACGCAGAGGAACTGCAGAGAACCATTAGCCCTCAAGCCTGTCCTAGTTAGGCTACCGTATCCTAATTTGTTAGTGGATTTTTGCCAGTCAAGTTTAGGTATGTTGACCATTTGTGACTCATTGGTGTTCTCTCAATGTTAGGTTGTTATTACAACAATGTTTGTCAGTGTTTCTGACAAGTATGCTTGTAATTTGCTTATGCATGATTTACAGGCGCCCTTTACAGTCGGCTATACTACTGTCCTAGCTGTTAAATAGTTTAGCCATGGTGTTATCTTTCCTCTGAGGTTGAGGTGTATCTATGTTGGGATATCTGGGTTGTGATGAGAAGGGTGTAACGTTTAGAATGGTGAAACGCTCAGAACGCAGTAGACAGAAAATGTGTAGGCTAATTAGGGCTGTCCCCGACCCCAAAAAATCTTGGTCGACTGAGAGTCATCTGTTCTTTCAACCAATCCATTGGTCGAAATTTAAAAACGTGTATTTTTCCATATATAGACACGCTATGTTTGAATAAAATGAACTATATGTAGGCTACTGAGCTTGTCTGATGCTTTAAGCGCTGCGATTTCAAAATGAAGTAAAGAAGGAGCCAGAGATCAATATTGCCTAACCAGAAGAAAACAACATGTTCCTGACCTCCCTCCTCCCGCTGCCCACTGCTGCTGGCCTTTGCAGATTCTGCCATTACACTCCTGAAGTTGCCAGTAATAGGCTACACCAGCGGTCTGCAACCTTCTCCATTTGGAGTGCCAAGTTATCGTTCCATTTCTAATGATCTGCGAGCCAGTTATGATTTTCATATGCACATTTCCGTGGAACAGTTTCATTTAATTTAGAATAAAGTCTTCATATCACAATCAATCTCATGTGGTTAATCAGAATTATATCTAACTGAAAATGATACAACTCTAAAAGTAACTTCTATTGCCATTGCCAACTATGTAAAAATAGCCTACATAAAGCCAACAAATAAAAACATTGCAGCCTGCAGGTAGAAAATGTCCTGATAAAAAAATCTACATTCTTATAAATCACATTGGCTAAGCATGGCCTGTCTTCAAGGAACTTATAACATTGTATCAACTATTAACTTGGTCTGGCCTGAAGATTGTGCTAGCAAACTTGCAACATTGTATAAAATATTCTGGGCCCTCGAGTTTCCTGTGCCAGTGTGCTCTGGACAGATACACAGCTAGGTGTCAGGTAGGCCTATGTTATGACGTTTCCACCAGATCAGAGCTTGACATTTTTTCCCCCCTTTCATGCTGATTGGTTATCGAAAGGGTGAGAGCTGGAAAGATTATTCAAATACATTGAGGAACTATTGTCATTCTCAATGGATGTGAAAAGTGTTTGTTTACTTGCTGTTTGAGGCAAAGAAAACATTACTTTGAGAAGCTACATAGTGATGGTGAGTTAAGACTATCAGATCCGTAAATGGTAACATTTATAGGCCTACAGTACATTTCGTGCAGGCCAGGTAGCCTAGGCCTACTTCTACGTGTAATGAGGTGCGTGTCCTTACTCAAGATTGACAGGAACGCTCCAAACACAAGACAATTAATAAATTGACGAATTAAATAGTGTAGCCTAGGTTGTGCGCTCTGCAAACAACGTGTCCACTCCTACAATTTCAACGGTAAGGCTGTAATAATAATAATAATAATAATATATTGAATGCATTAACAGAAATGACCGTAACCAAACAAACATTGTAGATTAGAAATTATGTGAATTAACGGTAAATGTACTACTAGTGATACTGGTGTGCCATCCCCACGGCCTCCGCAATGGATTAGTCCACTCAGACTGGCATAAATCACAGGTGTCTCGTGTGACATTTTAAATATATATTTGCCACTGCTCGACTAAAAAAATCTTGGTCAACCAACAGCCTACCGACCAAACAATCGACCCGTGGACTAAATGGGGTCAGTCCTGAGGCTAATGTATTAGGACTAGAGCTCACATGAGTGCTTGCTTATTCTCCATGACAAAGAAGAATGCCTGTTAAACATGATATATAGGCTGTTTCTATGTGAAAATTCTATAACGTTGCACCCTCCTGCATAAGCCCCTGAACTCTGAGCTCTCTGGTGTGTCTTTTAATCACTCAGAGGAAGGGATTAAAGCTCTTGCAGTGCTCATTAACAAGATTAACAATTAACCAGTGCTGATTCTGCTTTATAATGTCCAGTTGTTCATCTTGCCCAGAATCGTCGAAAATGGCTTAGTACGTGAGTTTAAATGCTCTCAGCTCTTCTCCAGCATCACTACTTGGAGAGCAGGCTAGGCTAGGCTAGTCCTCTTGAAAATAGCATTCAAATTTGTCCTCTGGTTTTGTTTGATTTGGTTAAAGAATGGCAGCATGTGAGGTCCTGGAGCAGGGAAAGAAGAACACAAAGGGAAGGCCTTCCCTCCCTGCCCCCTGGCCTGGACACTCCCCATTCTGTCTCTTCTCTCCTCTGCTCCACCTCTCCTCCAGTCGCTTCCCTGTGGGCCAGCCTATCTGATATCCATAGATAATTAATGTCTCGGGCCTCTGTACCTGCTGGGGTTTGGCAGTCTCTGTCTGCTGCCAACTCTGTATGACCTCCTGGAGCCAGGGAGGGCTGTCTGTCGGTCTTCGAAACACAGCCTAGCATATTACCTACCCAGCTGCGATCCCTTCATCAGAGGAAATGGAGAAAATACATCTGAAAATAAATGCCCCCTCAGCAGTTTGGCCTGTGACTCAAACTTGCCAGGCCGATAAAAGGTGTGTTTGCTGTTCTTTTTAACTGCAATATGTAACTTTTTGGGCACCTGACCAAATTCACATAGAAATATGTTAGATCTGTCATTCTTACTGAAAGCAAGTCTAAGAAGCGGTAGATCTGTTTTATGTGCACTATTTCTATGCTTTCCTTAAGTTTCATCTTTGCGTATTTTACTTTCAGTTTTGTACGCCAGCTTCAAACTAATATTTTTGGTTATGGAAAATATATTTCTCAGGGGTTTAGATGATACAATGATTATCTACACTATACTTGCTTGTTTTGTCACAAACTGAAATTAGGCGAACTATTTAGAATTTTTAGCAACCAGGAAATGGCGGCGCGATTTCTGCATAGTGCATCTTTAAACAACGTCTGTCTCAGGCTCTGAAGCAAAAAATACAGTGCATTCGGAAAGTATTCAGACCCCTTGACTTTTTCCACATTTTGTTACTTTACAGCCTTATTCTAAAATTTATTAAATCGTTTTTTCCCTCATCAATCTACACACTATACCCCATAATGACAAAGCAAAAACAGGTCTTTAGAAATGTTTGCAATAAACTAAACAAAAACACTTTAATATCACATTTACATAAGTATTCAGACCCTTTACTCAGTACTTTGTTGAAGCACCTTTGGTAGCGATTACAGCCTTGAGTCTTCTTGGCTATGACGCTACAAGCTTGTCACACCTGTATTTGGGGAGTTTCTCCCATTCTTCGCTGCAGACCCTCTCAAGCTCTGTCAGGTTGGATGGGGAGTGTCGCTGCGCAGCTGTTTTCAGGTCTCTCCAGAGATGTTTGATCGGGTTCAAGTCCGGGCTCTGGCTGGGCCACTCAAGGACATTGAGACTTATCCCGAAGCCACTCCTGCATTGTCTTGGCTGTGTGCTTAGGGTCATTCTCCTGTTGGAAGGTGAACCTTCGCCCCAGTCTGAGGTCCTGAGCGCTCTGGAGCAGATTTTCATCAAGGATCTCTGTACTTTGCTCCGTTCATCTTTGCCTCGATCCTGACTAGTCTCCCAGTCCCTGCCGCTGAAAAACATCCCCACAGCATGATGCTGCCACCACCATTCTTCACCGTAGAGAGGGTGCCAGGTTTCCTCCAGACGTGACGCTTGGCATTCAGGCCAAAGAGTTCAATCTTGGTTTCATCAGACCAGAGAATCTTGTTTTTCATGGTCAGAGTCCTTTAGGTGCCTTTTGGCAAACTCCAAGCGGGCTGTCATATGCCTTTTACTAAGGAGTGGCTTCTATCTGGCATCATCTTGAACTTCTTCCATTTTCTAATAATTGCGCCAACAGTTGTTGCCTTCTCACCAAGCTGCTTGCCTATTGTCCTGTAGCCCATCCCAGCCTTGTGCAGGTCTACAATTTTATCCCTGATGTCCTTACACAGCTCTCTGGTCTTGGCCATTGTGGAGAGGTTGGAGTCTGTTTGATTGAGTGTGTGGACAGGTGTCTTTTATACAGGTAACGAGTTCAAACAGGTGCAGTTAATACAGGTAATGAGTGGAGAACAGGAGGCCTTCTTAAAGAAAAACTAACAGGTCTGTGAGAGCCGGAATTCTTACTGGTTGGTAGGTGATCAAATACTTATGTCATGCAATAACATGCAAATTAATTACTTAAAAATCATACAATGTGATTTTCTGGATTTTTGTTTTTTTAGATTCCGTCTCTCACAGTTGAAGTGTACCTATAATAAAAATTACAGACCTCTACATGCTTTGTAAGTAGGAAAACCTGCAAAATCGGCAGTGTATCAAATACTTGTTCTCCCCACTGTATATAACATAACACATAGTCATTTTGAATGACACTGAGAGGCAGTGTTACATCTAATGCCTGTTTGCCTGAGGCTGATGCTGTGCAGGTGTTTGTAAACATGCATACACACACTCGCATTCAAATGCACACGTGCACATACACGGACACACACACACACACACACACACACACACACACACGTAAATAGTGCCAAACATGCACTCAAACATATTCAGTTGGCCTCGCTGTTATGAGTTTTGTTATCCTTGATGTCTTCTTTTTTGCATTGTTTTCCTTTGTCTTTTTTCTCTTTTGTTCATTTTGTTGGTTATTGGTGCATTGGGTACGGGGTCTTGGGGGTGGGGAATGGAATTATTTTTCTCGGGGGGGTGCTCGAAGGTTGAGGGGCAGCTCTTGGGGAACTGTGGGGGGGATCTTGGAGGGCTGGTGGCCTGGCGGTTGGGAGCTTGGGCCGGTGGCTGATGGGTCGCTTGTTCGGCTCCCCGTTTTTGACCTTGTGGGAGATCTGTCGACATGCCCTTGAGCAGGGCGTTGTCCCTGGTTGCTGAGTCTGTTAGATGACTAATGTGATGTAGTTGTTGAGCGGCTTCACTGCAAGTATATTTTAAATATTCACCCAAAGAATAAAAAAATGTTTGTTGCACCTGCATGTTTGTCATCTGAGGCGTGAACCTCACAGGTTGAGGCACAAACTGATAGAATAGGAGCGATAATGGGAATGCACACACGAGACACCTTGTTCTCTCATTATCTAGTAGAGTCAGAGTTGAAGTCAGCTTTTAGGCTGTGTTTCTATTTTGAGGGTTCATGAACCTGTACCTGAGCTTTCTGAAACTCTTTGATTGTGTCTTTAGTTGTTCTCTGTCTGTGTTTTCCCAGCTGGTGCTCTGGAGCCTTGTGTATTGTGGGAACACTGATGAGCGCATTGTCATGCGTTTGTTTACGGCATGGCAGCTGTGCCGCTATTGAGTGAGGGCATTGGTTTTGTGGGTAGTGTCTACCAGTTAGTATGGTACTGTGAAAGAGTACGGCAGATGGTGTAAACTAAGTTTGAGTTGGGGCTGGGATGATGCTAATAGTGATAATCCATGGCAACTCTCTGTCCTTGGCTTATCCCTGGTTAGACCCTGGCGGGGTGTGGCATTTAGAGGCACCTATTTTGGCCCTGTAGAGACATTTTTGCATTTCTAAGCTAATTTCTTGCAATTCTACACATTTTGCCATGCAGCTGAGAGAAAATGTTGCAGTTTAAATGCCATGGATAATGCTTTATTCTTTTGCTCAAACATAATAACAAAGCTTTTATTTTGGTGATTGTTAGTTCTCAAATTATATTATAAAAAATATAGCTCCATTAACTTTTCTACATACTTTATATCTGGTTTTAGTCGTTTAAGTTTACACTTATTATAATATAATTTTTTTACACTGTTTGGACATAGACGACCAGAAAAAACGCTTAGGCGGCCCGCCCAAGGATTACAATGGCAGAAAAATCCCTGCCTTGCTTAACCCCTAAGATTCGCTGCCTCTGTAATTTAGTATATCGTCCTTCTCCTTTCACCCACATTGCTGTCACCTGTCTGATGCACAGGAATGCATACAGTAGACCCAACTGAAATAAATCCCTATCTGTAGACATTATTAATTGTTCTGTACATGTTAGTCATCTCCACAGAATGAACAGTCATTGTCAATTTGCATACACTGTGTCACTGTACATGTTAGTCAATCTCTCAACAAGAATACACGTGTTGAACATACGAGTAGGCTACCACCTAACACATCCTTAGTTTGACACACCATTCTCGTGAAAGAGCAGCGACACGTGGCTAGCAGCAAACGTTAGGCCTATCGCTGTTGTGGAACTCTAGAGAGAGCCCTTGAGTGGCGGCTGAGAGAATGGCCTCCTTTGTCTGTCCAGTGAAGGGGAGTTTATGTGCTAAAACTAGAGAGCTGAGTGAACACAAACCCAACACGAGGGACTTTGTCCAGCCGTGCCTTTGCCTACAGAGAAGCTGTGGGTAGTAAAGGAATATGAGTGCCATTTGGAGAGCTAAGCCTAAGCTATAGACTGCTACTGATTTTAGGAGATTTGTAGCCAATTTTGGATGCTCAGTGTCCTGTTACTTGTGGTTCTGTTCCAATGGAAGTGATGAATGATCTCATCAGATTGGAGACTAGAGACAGAAGGAGTGTGTGGCTATTTGTTATTTTCAAATACAATCATTTCATACCTTGATGACATTGAGATACGATCACATGCCTCTTTATTTATTTGTGTGAATACCTGGGAACAGATTTCCTAAATTAAACTCCTTTTAGCTAAATTGTTGGTGATTGTACAGTCTTTTTATTTGTATATTTTTTTTAAAACAAAAAACGACAATCCTTTTTTACAAAAACGTTGTGGGGGCCCAAAAGAAATCACTCGTGGGCTGGTTTTGGCCCCCAGGGCCACCTGTTGCTGACCCCTGCCCTACTTGTCTCATTTGGGACGTGGGACGTGTGTGTGTGTGAATAGCTTAAGACCAACACATGGTAGTGCAGAACAGAGTAGCCTGTTTTTTTTTATTTATTATTTGTGTACTTGTTTTGACATTTTACTGCATTGTTAGGAACCAGTAACATAAGCCTTTCGCTGCACCCGCTATAACATCTGCTAAACTGTGTAGGCGACCAACAGTAGCCTGGTTACGTCATTATTGTGCTTTGACTTCAGACTCAAAGAAACACAACAAATACTTTTTCATGGGACAATTACTTTTTCTTTCTCTCAGACACAATATACAAACAATGTTACGCAACAAGAGCTTAGCCGTATCCCACTCAAGTTGTTGAATGTTTATTTCATGGTGCGCACAACTGGACTCTTCTACTACTTGATGGCATTGGCCAATTGGCCATGAGAAACTAGGAACAGTAGGCATCATGAGCAGGTCAATGAGTGGATCATTTATTTATTTCTGTTGCTGTGTTATGTTATTGATCAATAGATGAGGATGTAATGTCATCCTGTGCTTGTTATATTTACTGATTATATTATATTGTCACATTTTGCTTTGTCAACTAAAGAGGTAAAAGCATCGTTCTGCCACCTAGAGCTGCTAGCCTCCATAGTATGGATAGAGAACCACTGATGGTCAGAAACCCCCCACCCTTCCCCCAGCCCTATTAGAGGTGAAAGATACACACCAGTGAACTCAGAACCTGGCTCACTGATCACTTGCCGGCCGGCCGGCCGGACACAACCTGGGGTTCTGACCATCTGCTCCTCAGACCAGCCACACAACCATCTGTGCTCGCCTCAGTGGTGGCCTGGACTCAAGTACTGTTTACTGTAAAAGGCCTTTCTTTCTTTCATTGTTTAGCTGTACAGTGAACATCATCAATAATCAACATGGCTTGGAAAAGGCCATCTTTACACCATGACAGTACCATATCAGTTCAAAGATGAAGTCAAGCATAAAATCTAGACCATATTGTCGTCATTAACCCAATCCTTTCCAAAAACATGATACAAATTGTAGCCTACATGGTTCAATTCCTCCTACGGGAGGGGACGTCTGTTACATTTACGTCACTGATGTGAATTAGAGCATGATAAATTATCTCAAAGGATGTAGAGTAGGGTGGCGACAGGGAGGGTTATACAGAATGCTGAGAAGGACTTGCCTACACTTTTAATTGGCTAACTAACGTTACAGATTAATATCTGTGTCTGCTTGGATGGACACGACATACACGCAGGCCTAGGCTTTGTCTGTAGACTCCTAATACATCAGGGCAGGTCCATAGGTAGCCTTGCTCTGGATCCTTACAACCCACTGGTTGTGATCATGACTAGTCAGACACCTCTCCCTGTCTATTTCTGCTCAGCCTGGGTGGGGCCCAGCCCCAGACAGACCGACAAGCTCCATCATCAAATATTAAAGCACCTGTTTTCCTCAGCCTCATGCTGGGAGCTCATTCTCCCAGACAGTCTGGCTGACTGGGGAGTCTGACTGGGACAAGACATCCATCATTCATAACCTTTAAAGTCAGACCAACATCACTGAACTGAGGTGGTCAGTCAGACTTGTTTTTCAGAGTTTGCCAAACGGAGGCATGTTTCTATTTCTAAAGGAAAAAGGAAAGACAAGGTAATGCTTGTCTTTATAACTAGCCAAACCAGTGTTTTTCAAGTTGAGTTTGTAATCAACAAGAAAGCCTAGGTAATTCAGAGGGGAAAGATTCACATTATAGCCTCATTTCCACTGAAAGCAGGCTAATGAACCCGAAGCATCAAGTGGAACCCTATCAGTGTTTCCTGCTCTAATTGAATTACAGATAAAGACAATTGATCAAAAGTCACAGCTTCAGCAGTAGTCTGCCAGCACAGTTCTGTAAATGTCTCAAATAAGTTGAGGGCACTGAAGTCAGAAGCCATATGATGGAGTTGTAGTGGGAGAACAGTGCAACTAGTGGGCCTGTGTGGATCCGTGGTACATCATCCAGGACATTGTCTATGGGGTGAAGGAGAGTGGGAGGCTGTGTCTGTCTTGGCAGCTGTAGAGTTGCTAAGGCCCCATTACTGAGAGTGGCTCATAAACTGGTTACAATAAGTCTTTCCTAACGTCATTATCAGGCTCTTCCTCATCTGGATAGCAGCTGGGTGTCTTATCATTGTCATATGATGTTCTTCCTCTGTTAGACCTAGCACTGTCTATGGCTTGAGCCTTTGAATAATTGATCAGACATGGCATTTAGCTGGTTTTGCAAATCATCTGTCTACAATTTGTTGGATTTTCATCGAAAAACAATAGTTAGTGAGATGGATTTTTGTTACTGGTCTTCCACTAGGCCTGTGTGATGAAAAGGGTAGGCTAGACTGAAATGCGTGATTTCAAACAAAGAGGAGAAAATGTCAGATTCCTTCAAAGTATCTTTGGAGAATACTGAAAGTAGCTTTAGTGAAGTTGTCTATTGTAATGAGTTAGTCTCTCATTCATAGATGTGCTAGCAAGCAACCCGAGGAGGAGTGTTCAGTAAGTGTTTCAATATCTGAATTGCCCTGTGTTCGTCTGCAGAGAAGTGACTCAGCTGTGTGTGAAACGAAGGTCATCAAAATTGGACAATGGATGAAGATACTCCAAACTAAAAACATTTTAAAATCTTCATATTGACTGAATTATAGCACGTAAAACATTTTATTGGCACAGACAATGAATGGAGTTCAGCGATTTTGGTGGGAATTCAGGTATTACACAAGTGTACAAAACATTAGGAACACCTTCCTAATATTGAGTTGCTCCCACTTTTGCCCACAGAGCAGCCTCAATTCGTTGGGGCATGGACTCTACAAGGTGTTGTGGCAGACCAGGGGGTTTGATCAATACGTTTACACAGATCAGACACGGACACAAGTGTGATACTTCAGTTTCAAGGGTGTTTATTTAAAACAATAAAAAATAAAAAAGATACAGCTCTCCTCCAGGAGACCTCTTCCGGGTTACCGCCTCTGGAGTAGAATACTGAGCCCCTCGGTTCTAGCAGACCGTGAGGATGTCTATCCGGTAGCAACCTCTCACTACCTCCAACCTTCCCGTATGCTGCCGTCCTGGCAGCTTTATTGGCCCCATACAGCTGGTGAGCAATCAGCCCCAATTAATCCTGGCCAGAGGACCCGTCGAGACCTGGCACGTCCAGCAGAGGGAGCCACTGCCGCGTGATGTAGACTCCGTCTGTCACCAGGCCTCGACGAGTCTCCCCCTGGTGGCTTGTCCGCGGTACGTTCCTCCCCATCGTGTACCTGGGACAGGACGGCCCCTAGTCCCGTGTCACAGGCATCCGTCTGCACCAGCATCGGTACCTGGAAATCTGGCGTCACGAGAATCGGATGGGAGCACAGGGTTTCCTTCAGGCGCTTCGGCCTCATCCGACCACTTCACTGTTTTCAGGAGGTGGGCCCTGGTCAGATCGGTAAGGGGGGAGGCTATAGCCGCAAAATTAGATAAACCAGCTATAGTATCCCACCAACCCCAGGAAGGACTTCACCTGTGTCTTGGTGCGGGGAACGGGCCAGTCACGAATTGCCTGGACCTTCCTCTCCTGGGTCTTAACTTTCCCTCGTCCGATCAAATACCCCAGGTACTCCACCTCCTCGAACCCCAGCTCGCATTTCTTGGGATTCGCTGTCAACCCAGATTGCCTGAGTGCGTCCAGTACTGACTGGAGGTGCGTCAGGTGCTCTTCCCAACCTTGGCTGTGGATGATGATGTCATCCAAATAGGCCGCTGCGTACGGTTGGTGGGGTCGGAGAACTCGGTCCATCAGGCGCTGGAACGTGGGCGGGTCTCCATGAAGACTGAACGGGAGGACCCGGTATTGGTATAAGCCGTCCGATGTCGAGAATTCCGTCTTCTCCCGAGAGGAGGCTGCCAAGGGTACCTGCCAATATCCCTTGGTCAGGTCCAGGGTGCTGATGTTCCGGGCCTTTCCCAATCGGTTACTAAGCTCGTCCACCCTCGGCATGGGGTAGACGTGAAACAAACTGATGTCGTTCACCCCCTGGAAGTCATTGCAGAAACGCAGACTACCGTCTGGTTTGGGCACTAACACGATGGGGCTGCACCATGTGCTGTGGGAAACCTGACTCCACCTCCTGCTTCACAGCCTTCCTTTGGGCCTCGGGGATCCAGTCTGGCCTCTTTTGTACCGTTTCTCCGGGCAGGGTGCGGACGTGGTGTTCAATGAGGGTTGTTCGGCCGCGTGGTCTCCTCCCATAGAGGAGTTCAAAAGGGGAAAACCCAGTGGAGGCCTGGGGCACTTCTCGGATCAAGGACATTAGGTGGGGTAGTATCTGGTCCCAGTTCTTCCCGTCCCACTCGATGACCTTCCGCAGCATTTGTTTGAGCGTCTTATTGAACCGTTCGACGAGCCCATCCGTCTGAGAGTGAAAGACGGAGGTCCGGATCTGCTTTATCTGTAGGAGAGCACACACATCTTTAATTAGTCGGGACATGGACTCTGTACCTTGGTCGGTCAGGATCTTGTTCGGGATGCCCACCCGGCTGAAGAGGTGGAACAGCTCCCGATCGATTCCCTTGGAGACTGACGCTCGTAGGGGAATGGTATCGGGTGGTATAATCTACTATAAACAGGATATACAGGTGTCATCAGGCCATTTATACCAGGGGGCCCATTATGTCAATGGCAATGCGTTCAAACGGCACTCCGATGATCGGTAGGGGAACCAGCGGGTACCGGAAATGTGCTTTTGGGGCGGTGATTTGACACTCCGGGCAGCTGCTGCAAAAGTCTTCCACGGCCCGCTTCATCCCGGGCCAGTGGAACCGGGCGGCGATCTGTTCCCGGGTTTTCTCCATTCCCAGGTGCGCACCCAACAAATGGGTGTGAAGAACTGTTCCGACGTACCGGCGGTGGAGCAACAGCACCTCTCGAAGTTCCCCCTGTTCATGCGACTCCTGATACAACAGGTTATTTTTGATTTGGAAATGGGGGTATTGCCAGTCACTCACCCCCGGAAGAAGCTGGCCATCCACCGCTATCACTTGGGCCGCGGCGGCTTTCAAGTTCGGATCCTCCCACTGGGCGGTCCCAAACTCAGGGCAAGTGTCTCGGCGAGTCTTAAATCTTTTGTCTTGCCCATTCACCCTCTGAATGGCACACATACACAACCCATGTCTCAATTGTCTAAAGCCTTAAAAATCCTTATTTAACCTGTCTCCTCCCCTGTGATCTACACTGATTTGAAGTGTATTTAACAGGTGACATCAATAAGGGATCATAGATTTCATCTGGATTCACCTGGTCAGTCTGTCATGGAAAGAGCAGGTGTTCCTAATGTTTTGTACACCCAGTGTATATACATTTTCTAATGGTATCAGGTATTTTCTTTTTAATATTTTGTGTTAAAATAAAGCATGATGTGCCTCTTTGCATAAATATGCTGGGTGTATTTGCATATATTAATACATGCCAAGGTAGCAGCTACTCTTCCTGAGGTCCAGCAACATTAAGGCATTTATATACAATTTAAGATATTACATGACATTACATTTCATAACACTTTTCACAACACATTAAGTGTGTGCCCTCAGGTCACGACTCTACTATAACATATCTACAATACAAAATATATGTGTACGTGTGTGTACAGTGTGTGTGTGTGTGTGTTTGTCTTCACAGTCCCCGCTGTTCCAAAAGGTGTATTTTTATCTGTTTTTTAAATCTGATTCTACTGCTTGCATCAGTTACCTGATGTGGAATAGAGTTCCATGTAGCCATGGCTCTACATAGTACTGTGCGCCTCCCATAGTCTGTTCTTGACTTTGGGATTGTGAAGAGACCTCTGGTAGCATGTCTTGTGGGGTATGCATGGGTGTCCGAGCTGTGTGCTAGTATTTTAAACAGACACCTCGGTGCATTCAGCATGTAAACACTTCTTCAAAAACAAGTAATGATGAAGTCAATCTCTCCTCCACTTGGAGCCATGAGAGATTTACATGCATATTATTAATGTTAGCTCTTTGTGTACATTTAAAGGCCAGCCGTGCTGCCCTGTTCTGAGGCAATTGTAATTTTCCGAGGTCCCTCTTTGTGGCACCTGACCACACGACTGAACAGTAGTCCAGGTACGACAAAACTAGGGCCTTTAGGACTTGCCTTGTTGATAGTGTTGTTAAAAAGGCAGAGTAATGCTTTATTATGGACAGACTTCTCCCCATCTTAGCTACTGTTGTACCAACATGTTTTGACCATGACAGTTTACAATCCAGGGTTACTGCAAGCAGTTTAGTCACCTCAACTTGCTCAATTTCCACATAATTTATTAGTTGAGGTTTAGGGTTTAGTGAATGATTTGTCCCAAATACAATGCTTTTAGTTTTTGAAATATTTAGAACAAACGTATTCCTTGCCACCCATTCTGAAACTAACTGCAGCTCTTTGTTTAGTGTTGCAGTATTTCACTCACTGTAGTAGCTGGCGGTTATAGTGTTGAGTCATCCGCATACATAGACACACTGGCTTTACTCAAAGCCAGTGGCATGTCGTTAGTAAAGATTGAAAAAAGTAAGGGGCTTAGACAGCTGCCCTGGGGAATTCCTTATTCTACCTGGATTATGTTTGAGAGACTTCCATTAAAGAACACCCTCTTCTGTTAGACAGGTTACTATTTATCCACAATATAGCAGGGGGTGTAAAGCTGTAACACATACGCTTTTCCATCAGCAGACTAGGATCGATAATGTTAAAAGCCGTACTGAAGTCTAACAAAACAGCTCCTACGATATTTGTATTATCAATTTCTCTCAGCCAATTATTAGTCATTTGTGTAAGTGCTGTGCTTGTTAAATGTCCTTCCCTATAAGCGTGCTGAAAGTCTGTCAATTTGTTTAGTTTACAGTAAAATAGCATTGTATCTGGTCAAACACAATTTTCCCAAAATGTAACTAAGAGTTGGTAACAGGCTGATTGGTCAGCTATTTGAGCCTGTAAAGGGGCCTTTACTATTCTTGGGTAGTGGAATTACTTTTGCTTTTGCAAACATCTTTTCACCTCTTCCACACTCACTTTACGGAATTCGAAATTACAGTGCTTGTCTTTCACAATGTTATACTTGGATGTGTACTGTCAGTGTTTGTTTCTGGCATGTCATGCCTGAGTTTGCCAATGAAGAAATCATTAAAGTAATTGGCAATATCAGTGGGTTTTGTGATGAATGAGCCATCTGATTCAATGAATGATGGAGCTGTGTTTGCCCAAAATGTCATTTAAGGTGTTCCAGAGTTTCTACTATCATAGTGTAGTTTCTTCTCCTTTATATTCAGTTTAAGTCACATGATATCTCAATTTGCAGTACGTTTGCCATTCGGTTGTGCAGCCAGACTTCTTTGCCATTTATTTTGCCTCATCCCTCTCAACCATACAATTTTCCAATTCCTCATCAATCCATGGGGATTTAACCGTTTTTAGTCATTTTCTTAATGGGTGCATGCTTATTAGAAACTGTAGTAAGCAATTTCATGTGTCAAGTGCAGTGTCTGGTTGCTGCTAATTAAACACCACAGACCAACAATTACTCTTTACATCAACAGGAATTACTACAAAACTTGATGTATGATCTCTTATACACTATATTAGGCCCAGTCTTTGGAACTTTGGTTTTCCTAGATACGGCAACTGTATTGTGATCACTACATCCGATGGATTTGGATACTGCTTTAAAGCAAATTTCTCTAGCATTAGTAAAGATGTGATCAAAACATGTTGATGATTTCATTCCTGTGCTGTTTGTAACTACCCTGGTAGGTTGACTGATAACCTGAACCAGGTTGCAGGCACTGGTTCCAGTCAATATTTATAAAACCCAGAAAATATACCTCTGTTGATATCACATACATTATCAAGCATTTCACACGCTATCCAGATACTGACTGTTAGCACTTGGTGGTCTATAGCAGCTTCCCACAAGAATGGGCTTTAGTTGAGGCAGATGAACCTGTAGCCATATTACTTCAACAGTATTTAACATGAGATCCTCTCTAACATAAGAGGTGGAACAGCTGCAATCACCAAAAAACGTGCTCTGTCTAGGCCTGCCTAGACTGCTTCATTAATTACTGTTGTCACGTTCTGTTGCATAATTTGTCAATAGCAGGATGCCCTCCGATTTTAAAAATCAAACACTCTTGGATTACACCCATCTATTCATACTTTACATTATTTGCGAGATCAGACATAACATCACTATTATCCAAGTTTTCTTTTTGGGAATTTGCTTTCATTCAGCACATCTTAATTTGTAAACATTTCAACTGTATTAAATCATTACTTTTTAAAATTCCACAAAAAATTAACACCCATCAAAATAAAGTTATCCTTCTTCTCTTTCTTGTGATGTAAGTGTTGATGATGCGTTTAAATTCCAGACAAAGCTTCAGCGTTCTTATAGATGCAAAGGAAAGACCATGTATGCCATTGACCCATTTCTGCAATTACCGGGTGTGTATGACCGGTCAATACAAACATTTCCACGGCCGTAACGTTCACGGAAAAACCATCACGCACAAGCAAGAGTATGAAAGAGTCGCAAGAGTAAAATTTAAAAAATCAATCCAGCGAAATTTAAGTGACAAGTGGATTTGGCACCCTTCAAACACAGTTGGCAGGGCGTGCACGTTGCATGTGTGTGCTCAAGGTTAGTTTGCTGGGTATTTTACCTTGCCTGATCTTCAGAGGCACTTCACAATCACACATTGTCACACAATCCCAGAAAGAGAGGTTTTCTAAAATAACATGGCATTTCACGTAGGCACAGTGCAATGTCTAGGATTGACTCAATGTTACAATGCAGAGGATGATGATGAGGTCTTTTTGATCTATTAGCCTATTTATTGAACAAAGACCTGGGCTAAGTCCCATTATGGCATCCTATTCCCTATATTGTGCACTACTTTTGACCACTTTGTTGTGGTTTAAGGGTGTGGTGTGTGTTCTGCCATCCTCCTCATTTACAGACTAGAAGAGTGCTGCTTCAGGGAACTCCGTGGCCCTTTTGAACTCTGCTTGTGCTCTCTGGGTGACCTCCCTCTCCGGACTAGAGGGCCCTTTGCCCTGGGGTGAGAGCCACTTATAGATAGATGTTAGCCTAATGGTCATGCACGAGCTAAGGATAAGGCTATCGTGATGGATGGCTAATTGCAGCCAGACAGTGTAGTAGGACATGGAGAGAGGGATGCAGCCATACCATTGAGTTAGGCTTCTAATTAGGCTCATTTAGGTAGATATCTGTTTTGTGGCTTTAGAGGTGTCTACTGCATTTGTAAACGTCTAGTAGACAAGATGTTCAATCACAGCCACTCAATACATTGCGTTTTTGAGTGAACCAAATCTGCTGATATGTTGATTGAACTCTGAAAGTGATGTGCAAAGTAAAGAAAATGTCTTTAACATTTCTAACCTTGAACCCTGAAGTAAATGATCTGGTTTCAAAAAGAATACTTGTTTCACTTCTCTGGTCGACTCTTGTGGGTACAGAACACTTGACCGCTACACTGTTGAGTCAGACAGTCTGGAGAAGCATGCTCTAAATGCTTTCTGAAAAGCAGACACTTGGCCATATAAAAAGGCATTGGTCGATAAAATCATGGCTCCAGCCAGGCGGCTGGTCTGCTGCTACGGTGCTCAAGCTGACAGTGTGACCAGTGGGAATCATAGGGCTGAAGGGACCCAACTGTGCTGTGCCCATGCAGTGCTTATCTATCCATCTTAAACTTTTCAAGACTATTTCCATTCAAAATCTAGGCCTAACTCCCATCAGAATATTGTCTACATCTGATAGGGAGAGATTAGTTTTAGTGGGCCTCTTTTCCTGTGGTTTGGCCGCAGGTAGCCTAGATCTTGCTGTCTTAATAATAATAATAATATGCCATTTAGCAGACGCTTTTATCCAAAGCGACTTACAGTCATGCGTGCATACATTTTTTTTGTGTATTGGTGGTCCCGGGGATCGAACCCACTACCTTGGCGTTACAAGCGCCGTGCTCTACCAGCTGAGCTACAGAGGACCACATGATGGTATGATGATGGCATGGCTGTCTCTGAAATGGGAACGAAGTAGAGGGCAAGCATTGGCAGGGATCCAACACACCATTCCCAATTCGGTAGGCTATTTGTGGTGAAACAATAGTTCAGGTATAAAAACATAAGACACCATGCTGCCTTAAAAGTGCAAAGCTGATCTACCGGTGAAGTGGGGGATAACACTGCTGGCTAGTAGGAGGTGGTGGTGTATCGTATCGTACGTTGGGCCTTCAATTTAACCTAAGTCCAAAGGGGAGGGAGATTGGGAGAGAGGGAGTGTGTCAGCAGCAGTGTGTAATGTGGGTCAGTGTGTGCCACCAGAGTTGGCCTCATTGGTCGCTAGCCAGGTTGGGGTCGGTCGCAAACTAACGATACTGGCTGAATGCCTGCAGCCTTGTCATATGAGATAAGTGATTACTGTAACCATAGAAATATAATAAATAGTGATTCTATTTACATTTTTTTTTCATTTTAGTCATTTTAGTAGACGCTCTTATCCAGAGCGACTTACAGTTTTAGTGAGTGCATACAGTGGGGAAAAAAAGTATTTAGTCAGCCACCAATTGTGCAAGTTCTCCCACTTAAAAAGATGAGAGAGGCCTGTAATTTTCATCATAGGTACACGTCAACTATGACAGACAAAATGAGAAAAAAAATCCAGAAAATCACATTGTAGGATTTTTAATGAATTTATTTGCAAATTATGGTGGAAAATAAGTATTTGGTCAATAACAAAAGTTTCTCAATACTTTGTTATATACCCTTTGTTGGCAATGACACAGGTCAAACGTTTTCTGTAAGTCTTCACAAGGTTTTCACACACTGTTGCTGGTATTTTGGCCCATTCCTCCATGCAGATCTCCTCTAGAGCAGTGATGTTTTGGGGCTGTCGCTGGGCAACACGGACTTTCAACTCCCTCCAAAGATTTTCTATGGGGTTGAGATCTGGAGACTGGCTAGGCCACTCCAGGACCTTGAAATGCTTCTTACGAAGCCACTCCTTCGTTGCCCGGGCGGTGTGTTTGGGATCATTGTCATGCTGAAAGACCCAGCCACGTTTCATCTTCAATGCCCTTGCTGATGGAAGGAGGTTTTCACTCAAAATCTCACGATACATGGCCCCATTCATTCTTTCCTTTACACGGATCAGTCGTCCTGGTCCCTTTGCAGAAAAACAGCCCCAAAGCATGATGTTTCCACCCCCATGCTTCACAGTAGGTATGGTGTTCTTTGGATGCAACTCAGCATTCTTTGTCCTCCAAACACGACGAGTTTAGTTTTTACCAAAAAGTTCTATTTTGGTTTCATCTGACATTCTCCCAATCCTCTTCTGGATCATCCAAATGCACTCTAGCAAACTTCAGATGGGCCTGGACATGTACTGGCTTAAGCAGGGGGACACGTCTGGCACTGCAGGATTTGAGTCCCTGGCGGCGTAGTGTGTTACTGATGGTAGGCTTTGTTACTTTGGTCCCAGCTCTCTGCAGGTCATTCACTAGGTCCCCCCGTGTGGTTCTGGGATTTTTGCTCACCGTTCTTGTGATCATTTTGACCCCACAGGGTGAGATCTTGCGTGGAGCCCCAGATCGAGGGAGCTTATCAGTGGTCTTGTATGTCTTCCATTTCCTAATAATTGCTCCCACAGTTGATTTCTTCAAACCAAGCTGCTTACCTATTGCATATTCAGTCTTCCCAGCCTGGTGCAGGTCTACAATTTTGTTTCTGGTGTCATTTGACAGCTCTTTGGTCTTGGCCATAGTGGAGTTTGGAGTGTGAATGTTTGAGGTTGTGGACAGGTGTCTTTTATACTGATAACAAGTTCAAACAGGTGCCATTAATACAGGTAACGAGTGGAGGACAGAGGAGCCTCTTAAATAAGAAGTTACAGGTCTGTGAGAGCCAGAAATCTTGCTTGTTTGTAGGTGACCAAATACTTATTTTCCACCATAATTTGCAAATAAATTCATTAAAAATCCTACAATGTGATTTTCTGGATTTTTGTTTCTCAATTTGTCTGTCATAGTTGATGTGTACCTATGATGAAAATTACAGGCATCTCTCATCTTTTTAAGTGGGAGAACTTGCACAATTGGTGGCTGACTAAATACTTTTTTTCCCCACTGTACATTTTTCATACTGTCCCCCCGTGGGAAACTAACCCACAACCCTGGCGTAGCAAGTGCCATGCTCTACCAACTGAGCTACATGAGGCCCCAATATTTATATGACTTTAACAGCCAAGGTGATGCAAGGAGAGTCAAACTGACCTCTGAGCTCCACATTTACTCACATTGCAAGTAGTGGAAAATTGAAGCCTGGACCTGTGAAAGTGTCATAGATACTGATAGTGTTTTAGATGGTTGCTAAATATCTCACTTCTCATGCAGTCCTGTGCTTGTGTGCTGCCTGCAACCCGGAGGTGAATGCAAATCAAATCAAATCCATTTTTATTTGCCACATGCGCCGAATACAACCTTACAGCTTACTTACAAGCCCTTAACCAACAATGCAGTTTTAAGAAAAATAAGTGTTAAGTACAAAATAAGTAAAACAATTTATTTATTAAAGAGCAGCAGTAAAATAAAATAATAGTAGGGAGGCTATATACAGGGGGTACCGGTACAGAGTCAATGTGCAGCACTGAGTATAGAGGACAGGAATAGCACAGTCAGTAGTAGCAGGATAGCAGAGGGCTGCCCCTCAAACAGATGAACGGTAGCGGGAGTACAGCTGATCTCTGTTTTCTTTGGCCTTGTAACCACTCCAGGAGATAGGGAGAGCAAGGGAAAGAGTAGGAGAGAGCGGGAGGGATGATTATTATTATTATTATTATTATTATTATTATTATTATATATTAGCCTACCGAAAATATGTCAAGAGTCTTGTTAAACTACGTAGTATTGCACGAAAAAAAATTCCTAGGTCCCTCAAATTAAACAAAGTCAAACTGGTAGTGTATTTAATATAGGCTATCTCAATAAACAATAATCTTTTTTTTTTTAAGGGGGGGGTGACATTTTTTAAAATGTGAAAAAGGTGGCCCTGGGGGGAAAAAGGTTGGGAACCCCTGAGGTAGAGAGAGGGGGAGAGTTGGTTGCAGCCAGGTGCCCAGTGTAGAGTATGGAGGCTAAAGCTCATTGGCACCCTGTGCAAAACCATTCATCTGCAAGCAATCCCTGTCCTTGGCCAATCTTGCAGCACAGCAACTTTTCCCTGCAGTATGCAACATAGCGTAGTTTACTACCACAAACACATACACACACACACTTTCTCCCTCCAACTCCTCGCTCTCTCTTTTCTCTCTTTCTGTCTCTCTTTTCTGTCAGTCATTCACCCCTGCCCACTGTCATTACTCTTGATGAGAAGGGGCTGATGGCTTTGAGCCAGTGCTAGCCTACACTGATTGCTGAGTGGCCCCCTAATGGATTTCTCCAGTCAGTGAGCACGTCTCCTCTCCTCTGCCATGTTGATATATATATATATATATATATATACACATATACATATATACATGTCCCAGTGCCTCAGCAACACTAGTAGCTAATCAAATGTGCTATATACAGTGGGGAAAAAAAGTATTTAGTCAGCCACCAATTGTGCAAGTTCTCCCACTTAAAAAGATGAGAGATGCCTGTAATTTTCATCATAGGTACACGTCAACTATGACAGACAAATTGAGAAAAAAAAATCCAGAAAATCACATTGTAGGATTTTTAATGAATTTATTTGCAAATTATGGTGGAAAATAAGTATTTGGTCACCTACAAACAAGCAAGATTTCTGGCTCTCACAGACCTGTAACTTCTTCTTTAAGAGGCTCCTCTGTCCTCCCCTCGTTTCCTGTATTAATGGCACCTGTTTGAACTTGTTATCAGTATAAAATACACCTGTCCACAACCTCAAACAGTCACACTCCAAACTCCACTATGGCCAAGACCAAAGAGCTGTCAAAGGACACCAGAAACAAAATTGTAGACCTGCACCAGGCTGGGAAGACTGAATCTGCAATAGGTAAGCAGCTTGGTTTGAAGAAATCAACTATGGGAGCAATTATTAGGAAATGGAAGACATACAACACCACTGATAATCTCCCTCAATCTGGGGCTCCACGCAAGATCTCACCCCGTGGGGTCAAAATGATCACAAGAACGGTGAGCAAAAATCCCAGAACCACACGGGGGGACCTAGTGAATGACCTGCAGAGAGCTCGGACCAAAGTAACAAAGCCTACCATCAGTAACACACTACGCCGCCAGGGACTCAAATCCTGCTGTGTCCCCCTGCTTAAGCCAGTACATGTCCAGGCACGTCTGAAGTTTGCTAGAGTGCATTTGGATGATCCAGAAGAGGATTGGGAGAATGTCATATGGTCAGATGAAACCAAAATATAACTTTTTGGTAAAAACTCAACTCGTCGTGTTTGGAGTACAAAGAATGCTGAGTTGCATCCAAAGAACACCATACCTACTGTGAAGCATGGGGGTGGAAACATCATGCTTTGGGGCTGTTTTTCTGCAAAGGGACCAGGACGACTGATCCGTGTAAAGGAAAGAATGAATGGGGCCATGTATCGTGAGATTTTGAGTGAAAACCTCCTTCCATCAGCAAGGGCATTGAAGATGAAACGTGGCTGGGTCTTTCAGCATGACAATGATCCCAAACACACCGCCCGGGCAACGAAGGAGTGGCTTCGTAAGAAGCATTTCAAGGTCCTGGAGTGGCCTAGCCAGTCTCCAGATCTCAACCCCATAGAAAATCTTTGGAGGGAGTTGAAAATCCGTGTTGCCCAGCGACAGCCCCAAAACGTCACTGCTCTAGAGGAGATCTGCATGGAGGAATGGGCCAAAATACCAGCAACAGTGTGTGAAAACCTTGTGAAGACTTACAGAAAACGTTTGACCTGTGTCATTGCCAACAAAGGGTATATAACAAAGTATTGAGAAACTTTTTTTTGTTATTGACCAAATACTTATTTTCCACCATAATTTGCAAATAAATTCATTAAAAATCCTACAATGTGATTTTCTGGAATTTCTTTTCTCATTTTGTCTGTCATAGTTGACGTGTACCTATGATGAAAATTACAGGCCTCTCTCATCTTTTTAAGTGGGAGAACTTGCACAATTGGTGGCTGACTAAATACTTTTTTTCCCCACTGTAGCTAGCACTTGTGCATATTATTAAGCACCTCACAAATGCAACTGCAAATTGATTGTGTAGGCCTTGTGGATGATGCAGTGATGTGGAGATGTGTTTTGATAGTTCTCGTTACTGAATCACTATCTCTTCTCTTTGTAAACAGAGCTCATTGCAGTCATTGCTACGGACACCAAGGTAAACGATGCACAGAGACCGTTTGAGTTTCTCACTACCGTGGTATTTCGCAATAAGACTCAGGGCGGCTGCACATAGGCCTATGGATGTTTTGGAGAACCCAATCTTGAATGTTGTTTTGTTTTTGTTTGGTGTTAAACTAAAATAAACTTCAACACTTGACTGGCTCCTGACGCTTGCCTTATTTTTTCAGACACCTTCTGAGGGGCCTAATGGCCTAATCTTCATTCTCTACTGAATCGATACTTTGTGCTTCAAACCCCTTGGGAATGATTTACCCTCGTCATACTGTGTCTGTTGGCACATCCATGGCCACGTGGTTTTAGGGGGCAGGACCGCATGCCCCTCTTGCCCCTGGCATATACTATGTCTATGGGAGACGGATAATATGCAAAAGCTGTGGATGATGCCCAGGCGGAATGAAGGATGATAGGCAGGCGGGTAGGGGCTGGCATGCGTTCACAGGGGTACCACCAAACAGGGGTCTTTATTATTTAAAAGGTACCATATTCCCTATGTAGTGCACTACTTTTGACCAGGGCCTACAATGGGGAGAACAAATATTTGATACACTGCCGATTTTGCAGGTTTTCCTACTTACAAAGCATGTAGAGGTCTGTAATTTTTATCATAGGTACACTTCAACTGTGAGAGACTGAATCTTAAAAATCCAGAAAATCACATTGTATGATTTTTAAGTAATTAATTAGCATTTTATTGCATGACATAAGTATTTGATACATCAGAAAAGCAGAACTTAATATTTGGTACAGAAACCTTTGTTTGCAGTTTCCTCTAGGTCTTGACCAGGTTTGCACACACTGCAGCAGGGATTTTGGCCCACTCCTCCATACAGACCTTAAACAGATCCTTCAGGTTTCGGGGCTGTCGCTGGGCAATACAGACTTTCAGCTCCCTCCAAAGATTTTCTATTGGGTTCAGGTCTGGAGACTGGCTAGGCCACTCCAGGACCTTGAGATGCTTCTTACGGAGCCACTCCTTAGTTGCCCTGGCTGTGTGTTTCGGGTCGTTGTCATGCTGGAAGACCCAGCCACGACCCATCTTCAATGCTCTTACTGAGGGAAGGAGGTTGTTGGCCAAGATCTCGCGTTACATGGCCCCATCCATCCTCCCCTCAATATGGTGCAGTCGTCCTGTCCCCTTTGCAGAAAAGCATCCCCAAAGAATGATGTTTCCACCTCCATGCTTCACGGTTGGGATGGTGTTCTTGGAGTTGTACTCATCCTTCTTCCTCCAAACACGGCGAGTGGAGGTTAGACCAAAAAGCTCTATTTTTGTCTCATCAGACCACATGACCTTCTCCCATTCCTCCTCTGGATCATCCAGATGGTCATTGGCAAACTTCAGACGGGCCTGGACATGCGCTGGCTTGAGCAAGGGGACCTTGCGTGCACTGCAGGATTTTAATCCATGACGGCGTAGTGTGTTACTAATGGTTTTCTTTGAGACTGTGGTCCCAGCTCTCTTCAGGTCATTGACCCGGTCCTGCCGTGTAGTTCTGGGCTGATCCCTAACCTTCCTCATGATCGTTGAGGAACGAGGTGAGATCTTGCATGGAGCCCCAGACCGAGGGTGATTGACCGTCATCTTGAACTTCTTCAATTTTCCAATAATTGCGCCAACAGTTGTTGTCTTCTCATCAAGCTGCTTGCCTATTGTCCTGTAGCCCATCCCAGCCTTGTGCAGGTCTACAATTTTATCCCTGATGTCCTTACACAGCTCTCTGGTCTTGGCCATTGTGGAGAGGTTGGAGTCTGTTTGATTGAGAGTGTGGACAGGTGTCTTTTATACAGGTAACGAGTTCAAACAGGTGCAGTTAATACAGGTAATGAGTGGAGAACAGGAGGGCTTCTTAAAGAAAAACTAACAGGTCTGTGAGAGCCGGAATTCTTACTGGTTGGTAGGTGATCAAATACTTATGTCATGCAATAAAATGCAAATTAATTACTTAAAAATCATACAATGTGATTTTCTGGATTTTTAAGATTCCGTCTCTCACAGTTGAAGTGTACCTATGATAAAAATTACAGACCTCTACATGCTTTGTAAGTAGGAAAACCTGCAAAATCGGCAGTGTATCAAATACTTGTTCTCCCCACTGTATAGGGAAGAGGGTGCCATTTGGGATGTCGCCATAGACTTTGCTCCTCTCCTCTCAGTCTTCTCTGTATGTCTACCCACAGCTTCAGGCTGCTCTCTACTTGTCCTCAGAGAAGCAAATCCTGTTCAACCACATTCATCACTGAACTTTCATGCGTTTTAGTACATTAAATTCTCTTTATTCCGTTTTTTAATACTGTAACTATGTGACATTGCATGCGAGGGTGACAAAAGGATTTAGCCTGAAGGTTAAGGTAAATACTCTCGGGCACTAGCCTCTTGGGTGTGGCTTTAAATGTCAGAACAGCATAAGGAGCTGGTGCAGTCAGGAAAGCTGTGTTGTAATTGGCTGAGTAGCATTGTGATAATTAGGGGTGTGGTATCTGGTATGCATGTGGAGATGTAGTTGTGCTCCGACAAGCCCTGACTCTGTTCCTGCCACTCCCAGCCTAGTCTTTTCAAAAGCAGGGCACTTTAATTGGCACGTTTTAGATGGTACAGTAAAGACTGCTTTCCTAGAACAGACGTTATAAATAATTTAGAGCTACTGTGTCTGTTTCTCATTAGGTTGAAAAGAATATTCACGGAAAGTAGCCGACTGTGTTATTTATTTTACTGCATTTGATAGTCTTAAAGTAACTGTCCAGTGAAAATCTCACTTTTAAAAGTTAATATTCTGTTAACTCATACCCAAATAATGTTGTTGACTCGTCGTATACTTGTATTCGTGGCCAAAGCATAATTCTATCCTCCTGATTCCTGCTTAGAAGCAGGAAGTACCAGTGACTCACTCAATACGGAAGTGGTTAGATGACGCAGATGCTAAGCTACAGGACTGTTTTGCTAGCACAGACTGGAATATGTTTCGGGATTCATCCGATGGCATTGAGGAGTATACCACATCAGTCACCAGCGTCATCAATAAGTGCATCGATGACGTCGTCCCCACAGTGACGGTACATACATACATTGCCCTCCGACCAAACCATCAAACAGGCAACGCAACAATACAGGACTAAGATTGAATCCTACTACAACGGCTCTGACGCTCGTCGGGTGTGGCAGGGCTTGCAAACTATTATGCATTAAAGGTAAGCCCAGCCTCGTGCTGCCCAGTGACGCGAGCCTACCAGATGCGCTAAATGACTTCTATGTGTGCTTCGAGGCAAGCAACACTGAATCATGCATGAGAGCGCCAGATGTTCCGGACGACTGTGTGATCACGCTCTCTGTGAGTAAGACCTTTAAACAGGTCAACATTCACAAGGCCGCAGGGCCAGATGGATTACCAGGACGTGTAATCAGAGCATGCGCTGACCAACTGGCAAGTGTCTTCACTGACATTTTCAACCTCTCCCTGACCCAGTCTGTAATACCTACATGTTTCAAACAGACCACGATGGTCCCTGTGCCCAAGAACACTAAGGTAACCTGCATAAATGACTACCGACCCGTAGCGCTCACGTCTGTAGCCATGAAGGGCTTTGAAAGGCTGGTCATGGCTCACATCAACACCATCATCCCAGAAACACTAGACCCACTCCAATTCGCGTACCGCCCCAACAGATCCACAGATAATGCAATCTCTATTGCACTCCACACTGCCCTTTCCCACCTGGACAAAAGGAACACTTATGTGGGAATGCTGTTCATTAACTACAGCTCAGCGTTCAACACCATAGTGCCCTCAAAGCTCATCAATAAGCTAAGGACCCTTTGACTAAACACCTCCCTCTGCAACTGGATCCTGGACTTCCTGACGGGCCACCCCCAGGTGGTAAGTGTAGGCAACAACACATCTGCCACGCTGATCCTCAACACGGAGGCCCATCAGGGGTGTGTGCTTAGTCCCCTCCTGTACTCCCTGTTCACCCATGACTGCATGGCCAAGCACGACTCCAACACCATCATTAAGTTTGCCGACGACATAACGGTGGTAGGCTTGACAGCCTATAGGGAGGAGGTCAGAGACTTGGCAGTGTGGTGCCAGGCAAAACCTCTCCCTCAACGTGAGCAAGACAAAGGAGCTGATCGTGGACTACAGGAAAAGAGGGCCTTTTTTGATAAGTATTTGATGTGATTTTTGATTGCATTTACATTGATGTCAGAGTGGTTAGAGGGACAATAGAGCCCTGAGTACCAGGCCATTAGCGACCTGATTTATCTTTAGCGAGTTGGATAGGCTACCACTGTCCAGAGTGCATAAAAGGAGATTACCATGACTCAACAGTCATGTAGAATGTTACTGCGTTCATGAATCATGACTGCGAGTGTGGCGGTAATATGGTCACCTCAACAGCCCTAGTAGTGTGTACGGCCCAGTACATCACTGGGGCCAAGCTTCCTGCCATCCAGGACCTCTATACCAGGCGGTATCAGAGGAAGGCCCTAAAAATTGTCAAAGACTCCAGCCACCCAAGTCACAGACTGTTCTCTCTGCTACCGCACGGCAAGCTGTATCAGCGCTCCAAGACTAGGTCCAAAAGGCTCCTTAACAGCTTCTACCCCCCCAAGCCATAAGACTGCTGAACAGTTACTCAAATGGCTACCCGGACTATTTGCATTGACCCACTTTTTTACGCTGCTGCTACTCGCTGTTTATTATCTATGCAAAGTGACTTTACCCCTACCTACATGTACATATGACCTCCACTAACCTGTACCCCCGCACATTGACTGGGTACCGGATCCCCCTGTATATAGCCTCGTTATTGTTATTTTGTTACTTTTTTTACTTTAGTTTATTTAGCATTTTCTTACTCTGCATTGTTGGTTAAGGGCTTATAAGTAAGCATTTCACGGTAAACTCGACACCAGTTGTATTCGGCACATGTAACAAATAACATTTTTTTTGATATATACGCCAACACCATTCTGTTGGGTACACTCACACCTTTCCAACACAGAAAAGCATTTTTTTTTTACATACATAAAACAATTGGGAAGGAAAACTATTTCACTCATATTGTAATTAATTATAGGTCATATTTTGTAGAATTCTGGAAACTCTGGACAGTAACTTTAAAGTCTACCTCTGTAAATGTCAATTTGTGTTAGAAATAACATGTTTGGGGGTGTTAATCTTAGCACGACATGTTCTCACACCTTTATTTCTCTCTTCCCCTTTCATATTATCTTTTCCTCTTGTTCTCGCTTGTCCTCCCTCACTCCCATTTCTCTCTTTGTCCTTCTCTTGTCCCCCCCCCCACCACCCCCCTTCTCTCATCTTCCATCTCTCACTTTCCCTCTACAGCTCAGCCAGCCCTGCACACCCATGGTCCAGCAGGCAGCTGATGGAAGATCTGGTTCCCAACGTGCCCACCATGGTCTCCAGGCTGCCCAAGTTTGGCTCGCGCCCCGCAGCTGTGGCTGGCACCGCCCCACTGACCAATGGGACCCACTACCAACGCGTCTCCATCACCACTGGCAAAGGGTTACCCACTTCCACCACCAGGCACAACGGGACAATGCGGATGCCCCCCTCCTCCTCTCTGAAGTGGAAGAAGGGGAAAGGAGGAGAACCTGTGGAGAGGGGGGTGGACTCAGGGGAGGAGGGCGGAACTGGAGCTGGGCATCACCTCCGACAACTGCAGCACTCACCAATGGTTGTACGGGAGATTAAGAAGCCATCCACCATGCCTGCTACGGTTAAGGTACGGGGGTGTGCTTCTGCGGTATCCTCCACCAGCCCCAGGACTATACCCTCCAAAACCGGGCCTCACGGGGCCATCCCCAAACAGGCTTTGTCTGGACAGAGTCTCTGCAACGGCAAAGCAGGCCTCAACGGCCAGTCGGGTGGTGATGGACGGTTTGGGTCTGGGAATGGCTCCCTCAGGCGGGGCCAGAACTGTGGTTCCCCCTACAGCAACCTGACCAGCAGCCTGTCCCACTCCCAGTCCAGCGACAGCCTGGAGACTGCCTCGGAGGAGAACATGGTGCGCTCCCGGAGCCTCACCCACGTTAAGAGGATCCCCTCCCCCACCCAGCCGCCCATCATCCGCTCCTACTCCTTCAACAGGGCCTCAGAGCTGGCCAAGGAGCTGTCCAGGCCTCTAGCCAAGTCCCCACTGGTCAAGACATCTCCCCTGGCCAGACCGACACCTGTGCTGAGTAGTGCAGGGAGAAGGAACGGCCTACACCTCATTATGGGTGGACGTGGACTAGCACCAGGCAGGGCTGTGGTGGGAACAACTAGCTGCATCTTGCCCCCCACCATACTGAGGAATTCCTTACTACCCAGTTCAGCCTCCTTCACCACCAAGCCCTCGGCCATCAGCTACAGACTCACACGGCCCTCCCTCATCAAGCAGCCTCGCCCCATCTTGGCCTCCTCTACCGAGAAGGTCCAGGGCAGCACAGAGGAAAGCGAGGGGAGGAGGAACTCGGTGGAGACACCCCCTGTCACCCCAGACCCATCCAGCACCAATGACAGCCCAGGGAGCACCCCAGAGGGCCTAACAGAAGGCCTGCAAGAAGAAACTGCGGCCCCCAGCGGGGTGCGTCCCCTGGGGGAAGGCCTGGAGGACATGTCCCTCTCCTCCACCTCCTCCCTGGAGCGCAACGATACCAGCGAGGAGTACATCGACGACTTTGACAACCTGGGAAACGGAGGAGATGGCATTCTGCTGCTCCCTGCCCATGATGGAGGGCTCGACCAATCACACTCTGTCTTGGCAGGTGATGATAACGCAGATGTCATCCACCGTCATGGTGGAACCTCCATGAAGGGCCTTCACAGCTTCCTGTCTGACAGTGTAGACTGGGCTGGAATGGGACTCACTGGTAAAATTTCACAATAATATAAATAATTGACTTTAAAGTCTAAGGGACGGTTTCCCAGACACAGATTAGGCCTAGTCCTGGACTAAAAAGCACTTTCAATGGAGAATATCCACTGACAATGCTTTTTAGTCCAGGACTAAACTTAATCTGTGTCTGGGAAATCGGCCCTAAATGACAACAATACTAACCAAAACGAATGAACCAAAACTCCCTCAGTGATTAGGTAGCAGGCGAGTAAAACCTCTTCTTTCTCCTCCCTGTTGTAGGAGGTAGAGGGGGCTTAGGGGCGTTGTCTCGGCGTGCTAGCCAGGCCCTGTCCGGGAGTGCAGACTACCCTCTCGGCTCTTCCCTTGACTTGTCTCCCTCAGACTCAGGCTCTGGGGGGACCTACATGTGGGACGAGGAGGGTCTTGAGCCCCTGGGGACCACCACACACCCCTGTGGGAGCTACAACTCAGACATCAACAGCATGGTAAGTCTGGATAGAATACAATGTATTCAACATGTATAGTGAGTTGACCACAAATAATTTAATTCTATGGAATTGACAGCTCCCAACAGAATGGATTAAGATTTAATCCATCATTCCAATGGGAGGTGTCTATCTTCAGTAGTACTTTGGTTAGTAACATGTATATGTATGTGTGTTTTACTGTCTTTCGGAGGGGTTGGGTTAAAAGCGGAAGTCAAATTTACATTTTACATTTACGTCATTTAGCAGACGCTCTTATCCAGAGCGACTTACAGTTAGTGAGTGCATACATTATTTTTTATACTGGCCCCCCGTGGGTATCAAACCCACAACTGTGGCGTTGCAAACGCCATGCTCTACCAACTGAGCTACATCCCTGCCGGCCATTCCCTCCCCTACCCTGGACGACGCTGGGCCAATTGTGCGCCGCCCCATGGGTCTCCCGGTCACCGCCGGCTACGACAGAGCCTGGATTCTAACCAGGATCTCCAGTGGCACAGCTAGCACTGCATCCTTAGACCACTGCGCCACTCGGGAGGCCCAAATTTCAGTTGGGCCTTGTGTGCAATTGACCAATACAGTGATCTTCATCTTTTAATCCCCGCTGACTGTCATAATGTGTTTAACCTTTGTCCAATTCACTTTTACTTACACACCTTTTTTAATAGTCAGCATTTTACTTTCCCCGTTGCTAGAGTAGAAAACGTTCATCCTACTTCCATTCTGTGGAATTTCCTGTGTGATTTGTATTCTAGAGGGGCAAGGGTTGTCCTGCTGGCTTTGACCTAAATGAGCTCACTGCCTGGCACTGTTTCTGTGTGGGTTCTCTGCCCACGGTATCACTGTCCCCAATCTTACGTCACTACTCAGGACATTGAGCTACAAGACAGGTCTTCAATGGTGCTGCTCTTTCTTTGGCCAGTGTACTGTATGCAGTCAGGGCTTTTGTCTTGCACTGTACAACTCTGCTCCTGTACAACAGTTACATAGTTGTCGTTTTTTCTCTAATCTGATTAAATGCTTTTAAAGTACATCCTTCCTTCCTCCCTTGCTATTCAGTGATCTGTAAGTGATTGTATGGTCTCCAGCCTATTGCTTTCACCAATCTCAGCGTGTCAGATCAGTCATTACTGAAGGAAGGAAGGAGGCAGGGCCTTGTTCTGCCTTCCAAATGTAAGAACCCAATTTCCTGGATTTCAGCCAAATAATCAGTTCATTGATGTTTTCTTGAGGGATCCTATTGGCTGTTGCCCCGTGTGATTTCCCTGCTGTTTCACAGCAGCCTATCACTGGGCCAGAGAGAAGGATGCAGCCTCCGGACCAGAGGCAAGCGGAAGGATGACAGTGTAGTTATTACTGTAGTATGACGTGGCCTACAGGAGCAGCTAATTACCATTCTCATCTCATCAATAACAGAGGCACTCCTTTTTATATGGAGAAAATATGGGGACAAAAAGTACATATTATCTAATTGTGTATTCCTGGAGGCTCATAATAAGTCAGTGACTCAGACAGTGAGTGTTCCATCTCTGAAACCACCCAAGTACAGGACACAAAGCATTTCTCTGAAAAGTGCTGAATCATCTGTCTCTGGTTAGGGCAGCGTTGGAAGACAAGCTCCAATACACATTGCAGCTCTCGTTTCCAGGCATTTGTTTTAGCTAGGTCACGCAAAATACCTGGATTTGCTCTTTTTGCTTTTGTTTCTCCATTGGAAATTAACTATTTACGGGCCAGCACCTCTTAAACCTGTTTGGGGTCTTGGTTCACAGCTCTTGCCTATTTCCTTTTTCTCAATACTGTGTTTTTTCAGCACAGCTAATCCATCTCTTACTGTGATCTGGGTTAGGCTGTATTTAGTCTGATCATGTGGGGATATTTCAGGAAGAGCACCTTTGGACTGCACAGACATATTAATATGACGTTGTAATCGTTTGAGTCATAGTTGTGTGACCCATATAATTTAAAAACATTAGCCTATAATCATATCATGGATTGGGATCTCATAATATTTTAAATATCTGACCGCAGCTAATAATCAGAGACATAAACACACTGGTGCATATCGTTTGGTAGCCTACGTTTAAAGTGGTACTTGAGCGACCTCTACTGGAGACTAAGTACTGCAACTGTTGTGCTCAGCACAGTAGGCTTTTACTGTATGCTGTCTCTGTGCAGTGCAGAAGAATCAAGCTAGATGGTAGCATTGATCAGCAAGTGTATCCACACACAGTAGGCTATTACTGTCAGTAAATGTGTGTCGGAAAGATTAGCGATTTATTAGTTTCTATTTATTGGAAATGCTGTACTGAACTCAACACGGGAGACAGTGGTGAAACCTCCGAAATGAATTCAGAGAATTAAACAGAAATAAATCCAATATAGGAGATTCCTTCAATATTCAGGAACATCATATTTCCCTGCAATCTGAACTTGAACGGGCAAGGATAGTTTTCCACCCTAAAAGGCACTGCATAGTCAATCCGACATCTGCAGTGACCGTAGAGCATTTACTGCAATACCGCCTCTGCAGAAGTCAGGGCATTTATACTTCTTGTCAAGGAAGTGAGTTTGTGTTTATACTGGACCTCCCGCCCCCACCTACCGTCAACCAATCATGTCAATGCGGAGCTATACGGGGGACTACGCATTGTTACAACATTTGGGCGGCGCGCTATGATGCGGTACGGAGCTTAATTTGGCCTCTGCATGCCTCCCGAGGTGACGCAATTGCTTCACACTCCATACGGCGCGTCCAACCACATTTTCGGATCAAGCGTAAATTGGATTTAAGGAAACACAGACTTCGAAGATAGTAGCAGTGAGCTCATTATAGAGAAATGGAGGGGAATGAACAAGAGATGGCGAGAGAGGCAGTGAACGAGTGCGTGGTAGAAAGACAAGGGGGAGACTTGGGGAAAGAGGGAGTGAACACAAGAGAGCGAGAGAGGGATGGGGTGATAGTGAATAAGAGAGTAATTGGTAGAAAGAGGTGAGAGAAATGAGAGAGCGTGTGTATGTGAGAGAGTGAGAAAAGAGCGAGAGAGAGACCGTAGAGATGTGGGATGCTAGCTAACCGACAGGCAGACAGATAGGCAGCCCGTCCCCCTGGTGGGTTTTGGAGCCGCTGGAGTCCTGCTGTCGTGGAGAGGTGCTAATGCACTAACACAGAACCACGCCATCGCCGCCCAGCTCTAAAACTGTAATGTCTGCAGCTCCCCGTCACGCTCAGGGAATTGCCTTCCTGACAAAAATTACATTTACTATGAATATCTGCGAGGGTATAATTAAAGTCAAATAAGTTAAATTAAGTCTGTGGTTGTGACATGATCAGGCCCCGCGCCACACTCCTTCAGTGGTGGTGGCTGCCGTGGTTTCTTCAGAAGCTCGTGATTAGCTTTGAAAAATGAAGTCCTCCTGTGCTACTCTCTTTTAAAGAGGACAGAGAAAGCCGTGCTGCTTCACTAGGGACTGCGAGAGGAGTGTGGGAGTGTGTGTTAGTTAGAGCACCGGCCCGGAGGCGTGACTAATTCAGCCGGAGCTATTTGATTGCCTTCCTCGCTCCAGCAGACAGTGCAGGAAGCCTGCTGTCGTAATACAGTGACTGCTCTTAAAAATACGTATAGAATCCGCCCTTTAAATAACTTTGAACCATGCTGCCTTATGTGAGAGTAAGGCTGAGGTATTTGATTAGATTTTGCATTATTACATCAGTCTATGGTAAAGGCTATCACCCAGCATCATTCACACGACCATCTGATGGCCAATGGTGATTTTGACACACGGGTGCCGGATACATACACACACAGTCTTGTATAACTAACCTTGTGGGGACACACAATTCAGTCCCATTCAAAATCATATTTTCCTAACCTTAACCCCAAAACCTAACCCTAGCTCCTAACCTTAATCCTAAACCCCCTAGATATAGCATTTGACCTTGTGGTGATGACAATGTAACAAAATGTCCCCAATTAGTTTGTTTAAACACACACACACACACACACACACACACACACACACACACACACACACACACAGGACGGAGGACTGGATGCTCATTCACTTCAGGAGCCAGTAGAGTGTTAAGACAGGGAAGTGACAGTGTGCTGGGCTCCTGGACCTAATGTCCCAGGATGCGTCACATGCTGGCGTCAGTCCCCTCTCTTGCTGTCACTCGTCGCATAGGAACGTCCGTTATGCTCAGGCATCTCCTCAACCCCGATTCTTAGCAGCTACGTCAGCCCCGCTGAGCCTGGCTGTCCTGTCTGTCTGCACTCATCTTATCACAGAAGTGCCGCTTCTCCACGTCAGCCTGCTGCACCGCCAAGGACAGGCCACGTCTGGGCCAGATCTTGCTTTACTAGCCCGAAAAGTGTCGGCTTAATGTTTCAGTGCACAAGGCTGTGATGCTCTATTTAAAGGGGTTTGTTACAGTAGATGAATTGGGACATATAGCATACAGATTCACAGATCAAATCAGGCAGCAACATGTCGGTATGCGTTGAAAGACAATTCATATGTTGACAATGGCATCGCATGATCACTAGACACTCTAAATGCCCATTGGAGATGACAACTATTGATTTGGCTCTTCTGGTCTTGTCCCCAGATGGTCTTGTTGCCATGTATGTCGCTAGTGGAAGATGCAGGGCGTATTAGTACAAGAGGGCTGTAAAGAAAATGTTATGTGTGCAGACAGGCCACCGGGTGGCAGTGTTGGTCCAAGCTGGATGTGATGGCTGGTGAAGGTCTATAGGCCTGCAGGCTGGGTTAGGCATGTAGGGGCATCACCATCATTCATGCTTCTCCTCACAGCTCAGATCCCCCCCACCCATCCTTTCTTCCGCTCGCTCTCTCTCTCTTTCTGTCACACACACACACCCCACCTCGCTCCTCCATAATCATCCCCACTGCTAGAGCAAAGAATATGCAGGCGGAGCACATTATGGCCAGAAGAACGAGTGTTCCTGGGGAGACCCTTTTGTTGTTCTCCGCATTGCTTCACACTTTCTGGAGTTCCTTGGACTTTTTTGTATCAATCTGCATAAATAAAGCCACAAAGTTGGATGGCATTGCCAATGCTCGGAAATGCTGCTGAGGAAAACACTGAAAATATGATCACAAATTTGTTTCCTCTGCAGTATACTCCTGTATTCCAACAGCAACTGTAGCCAGAGTAATATCCATCTGCCCTTGAGGTTTTCTAAAAGACTACACACCTCATCTAGTAAAGGATACCAAGTACAGTAGCAGCAAACATAGTTGTGTTTTGATCCATCCAAGGTCAGAAACCTGTCCCCAAGCCCCCAAATATTTCCCTCTTCTTGCAGAGTGCTGATGACCTCTCTCCAACTCAATCTCTCTCTCTCTCTCTCTCTCTCTCTCTCTCTCTCTCTCTCTCTCTCTCTCTCTCTCTCTCTCTCTCTCTCTCTCTCTCTCTCTCTCTCTCTCTCTCTCTCTCTCTCTCTCTCTCCAATTCTGTCACTCTTTTTCTCCTCCCTCTCTCTCTCTCCAACTCTCTGTCTTTCTCGCTCCATTCCTCCCAGATCATCTCAGAGATTCTCACATCAAAGCTGTCTGGGTCTCTCTTCGGCTCGTCATTTAGAGTTGTTTGCTATCCGCCGCGCACTAATGTTCCAAATGGCCTCCTCTTAGCCGCTAAAGGTGCCAGCCTCTCTAGGTCTGTTTGTCTTTGTTTGAGTCATTAGGCTAAGCTGAGGCTAAGTTAGCCATTGTGTCAGTGCTAAATAGATATTGTTTACTGTGCATTAGGGACCTGGATGAACTGTGTGAAGGATTGATTGCATGCAGTGAATGGGAAGCCATACTAAAACCTACAGCATACAATGAAGCACATCACTGCACAGAACACACTCTTTAATGTACTTAGAAATAATGCCTATTCTTAGCTCATCATATGCTATTTCAATGTTTAGCCCCTGTATCTTATCGAAAGGAAAGGCGAGAGAGGCTATGCTATAATGTCCGAAAGGCAAAAACAACCTCCATTATAAGCTTTTCAGTGACACATAGTTGAAAGGTGGCGTATAATGTTCTCTCCCTGTGAATAAGCGTGGAGAGAAGTCTTTCTCCAGTGTATTTGCAAGCCGCCGCCTCCTCCATGTGGGCTTTAAAGCATACGCTGGTAGTCAGTGCTCTGACACATGCAGGATTTACTCACTGTGCGAGTGTAGTGCCGATTTAATCACGCCCGCGATGGGCCTGACCTTTTTCCTCCACTTTACTGATGCTGCTTGACAATTTCATTACCCTTCAACGCTCTCCCTCTCTCCTAAGCTCCCCCTCCCACACTGCACACTGATTTGCTAAGCGGCAGAT